GAGCCTCTTGCTTTGCTTTGGGAAGGGTTCTGCATGTGCTGTGGCAAAGGGCACTCACAGGATTGTCCAATCCTACAAGGTGACCCACTGCAGGGGACAAGGACATGGATGTGCCCATTGCCATTTGGGAACAGCCAAGCTGCTTTTGGGCTCAAACCCTGCTTTAGCTTTCCACTGCTGCATGCCTCACCCTGTTCTCCTTTCTCCTGGGCTTTGTGGATGCTTTTCTCTTGCAGCAAAAATTCCTCGCTCTGCATCGCACAGCACTGTTTTCTTCCTGCATTCCATGCTTACTGTCCTGTTCCCTTTACCTTAGCCAAAACCTCTCACAATAAGCTTGGATGTTTTGCACTCACACACAAGTGATGCATCAGAGAATTGTGGATTCATTGACCAAAGCTGAGTCATGCTAATTCTGCAGAACATTTCCTATTCCTATACCCATTTCAAGATATTTTTGTTGTCAGAAGGTAGTGAGGGGCCCGGGCTGTGGGTGAGGTGAGGAGCAGCAGTGGGGCCACGTGTGTGTGCTGTGTGATATTTGTTTTACTCGTCTCTTGTACCAATTTTTAGACCCACAGCACATTTCTGTGAGTAAGCTGTGAACATTGCTGATGTAATGCTGCCTTCTGTGGAGTCTAAGCTGTTTTAGTATTTGGGGCACAGGTGTTGCACTCCTTCAGTGCTGGCTGCCTGTTATTGGGATGCCCTGCCACAAGGTGAGGTGATGACACTCCAAGTTTTCACTTTTCTCTTACGAGTTATTTGCCAAACTCCATTTTGTCTCACTCCTAATGTCCCCCTTGAAATTAGGGCAAAACTATCAGGTTTGCAGCCCTGAGATTAGGTGAAGAAATGGGCATTTGGGGTTGAGCAGGATGCTGCTACAGACCTGCTCCGTCCAACTATTCCAGGATCTGTGACTCTGGGACCCAGGCTGTGTGTGTTAAGTGTGTAAATCAGTGCCTACCCACGGATACCTGAGCCCCACACACTCTGCCTGACTGAGGCTTACCTGGGGATTTGTGTTGTAAACACTCCCACAGCTTTTATTCGCTCAAGCTGAGATGAGAGGGCTGCAGCAGAAGCCCCAAACCCTTTAGGATGTGCAGTCTGCAAAAGTTTTATGTTGATCTTAAGCAGTTATGCTCCAGAGGGATGAAATTCAGGGGGTAAAAAAACTGAGTTTTATTGGTTTTACTCCTTAGGTTTTGCCCACTGAGCAGTCATCCTTGTTACTGAATATTATAAATAAGCCAGAGGTGGGAGGGGAAAGGGAAGGAGAAACAAAAAGTTGAAGGAAGAGTTCCATAGGCTGCATAGCACAGCAGTGATCCTCCAACGCACAAACATGCTGGGATGGCTGCAAACCTGCAGCATCAGAGCCACCAGCAGATGCCTACTGTGAGCTGTTCACGCACAACGTGCTGTGATGACTGGTGATGAGGAGTTAGGTATGCGTGTATCATTAAGGAGCTAATGGCTGTAATGAGCCATAGCTATTTTTTTCCTGCCAGAATTCATGAATGTAGCTGATGAGTGTCGGTAGTCGTCAGTTTTTAATTGCTGCTTAATGCCTGCTCTGCAGTGGTGGGTGGCTGTGGGTTGCTGTGCTCCCCAAGCGATGCTGCAGCAGCTGCATGCTGGTGCTGGGACAGAGCCATCTGCAGCAGCCAGACCGTCCCTCAGTGCTTTAAGCCAAAGCATAGCTTCTCCTCCTGCATCTTAATACACATGTCTGTAAGGCAGAGCAGTGGCAAATTCACAGTGGCTGTGCAGGTGACTGGGAGGTGACAGCGTGGTGCTGCATGTCCCAGGTGAGCCTCTGCCTGTGCTGGGTGCCAGGCGCTTCCTTGAAACCACCTGACTGCCCTGGCACTGCACTGCTCGTGCAAACAGCTCAGGATAAATAAGGGTTGCACAATTTACCTGAATTTAGGATTAACGGGGGCTTGCACTGCTGGTCATACAGAGCTGTGGTGTTGGGCTGCGTTCAAAGCACTCCAAAAGCTCACCATGGGCTGAATGTCCAGTGGTGGGCTTGTCTGCTTCGTGAGCATTGCACCAACACCAGATTTTACTCCTGCATCTCCCTGATTTCTATTTCCATCTGCTTTTGATGTCAGAGGTGCTCTGTGCTGGTCTCAGGGTGCTGCTCTGCATTACTGTGTGCTGCTTGCAAACTGCATCCTTGTGCTGTGCGTGGGGAGGGTGATGTTCTGTGTTTCACAGAGTTCTGCTGTGTTACTGCTTTCTAATGGTCTTTTTTTCTAGGTTTTAAAGAAAAAAGCAATGTGTGCAGAGCTGTTGTGTTGTGTACTCTTTGCACTTACGCACAATTATCCCGTGAGCATTTATTTACCATACAGAGGTTTTAAAAATAAAATCTTGTTTCCTCTCCTTTTCTGTGACTGTTTGCTGTCACTGTGTCACCAAACCAGCACACAAGGGGTGATGCTGAGCTCAGGGAGTGCATGAGAAGCACTGGGGGGGTGAGGGTGAGCGTGGGGCAGGGGACTTGGGAGCAAGAGAGGTGGGTGCCATCCCCTTCCCTGTGTAATCCATGTTAAAAATGATGATGCTGGAGGAACTAAAATTCACGTTTTCAGATTTCTTGAGGTGTTATGGTAAGAACAAATCTATTTTCCTAGAAAAGAGCAATGGGTGAAATCGCTTTGGAGATCCCTGAGCAGATGGAGGTGTTGGATATTCCCAGTTCTTCCTTCTGCTCTTGTCCAAGTGCAGAGATCTGATGGGTTTGCACATGGTTTAGAGGGAAGCTCTACTCTGGAAGCTGTCCATGTACTTTTATTTCTGACGATGCTAATAGCATTCATTCTCTTGCAATCCTACTTCTATCTTGCAGTGACACCCTGGATGAAATGAAGGAATACCCTTTTCCTTCTGCTTACCCAGCTGTGAGATGGGGCAGATGAGAGGCACTGTATGGCCCTGTGGGTGCAGCTGTGCCCCGGTGCTTTCAGCACACACAGGTGGGCTTGTCCTGTGTCATCTGGAGAGAATAAACCAGGAGAGCCCGTGTTTGGGTTTGGGATTAACTGGGTTTCTTGTAAATAGTCAGCAGAGGTCACTGCCTGCTGGGAGTGACTAAACAAGGCCCAGCTTGCTGTGGTTTAGAGAACCAAATCTGCTCTGTTGCATTTTGGCTGGGGCTCAGGCAGGCTTTGGGAAGGTAATATTTCCCTCTGGGTCTGAGGATGCGAGATGGTTGGGTTTTTTTTTGGCCAAAAGAAATCTTTGCTCTGGCAGAACCAGCTGTCAGAAACACAACCCTAGGTGAAAAGGGCGCTGTTGAATTTGTGATAGCAATTGAAGCTTAAGTGAAAATGCACAAAGTGCAAAAAGGAGCAAATGGCTGTGGCCTCTGCCAACACTGTTATTATTGGAAAACAGTAGGAATTGTGTGCAGCATCAGTGGAGGGGCTGAGCCCGAAGTGCTGCTGAGCGGAGTGAGCAAACCCTGTGGGCAGTGCCATAAAGCTCTCAGTGCCCAGGGGGATGCCATCATCTTGAAGACACCCGTGGGCATTGTGCAGGGACCAGCTCTGGATGCCTCCACCCTTGGACTGTTTCAACTGGCAGCTCTGCACACAAAGCAAACAATTTCAACATCTGCTTGGGTTGCGTTCAATTTTCTAGCTTTTTGTTTCGTAGGTTGGGTAAACATCTTCTTTCTTGCTAGGAGGAGTTAATCATTGATAGGCGAACTGGCACGGGTCTGGTCCCTGCAGAGCATGCAGTTGGCTATGTGCAGCCATTTCTGAGCGTGTGGGTGGATCAGAACCCCTCCTTCAGCACAGCAGGGCTGTGTCAGTGCCATTGGATGCACCCATCGCTGCCTGCAGAGCCCAGGTAAGGTGAGCTGAGCTCCAGGAGTGGGATTTTGGGGTGTTCTTGTAGCTCGAGTGGGCTAAGGGAAAAGTAAAATAAATTGAATGAAACCGAGAGATGTAATAAGGAGTGAAGGAAAGCCAGAACAATGGATCAGCAGCAAGAAGAGCTCGGCTAGGGCAGTGGAAAAAGGGAGGAATAACTTTTATTAGGAGGTGCTTAGCTTTCTTTTCTTTTAGTGACCAATTTCTCATCAGTCGCCTCTAGGCACAGCACCAAGGTGGGCTGTGTTGCTTCCAGGAGGAAGGTAGGCACTCAGAGTGTGTGTAACCCTGGGAGGGTTTGGGCTCACAAGGGATGATCCTGGAAAGCTGCAAGACAAACAGGGCTCTCTGATCCTTAAAGCAGCCAAATATGCAAACTCAAGCTCAAATATGCCAAGAGAAGACCAGTGAAAGAAAGCCTACAGGAACAGCTTAGAATCTGCAATCAGCCATGGTGACCCCAAGAAAAAACAACACTTTTTTCCCCTCCCCCACTGTTTTTAAAGATATTTGGCTTAGAAAAAGAATGCTGTGACATCTGCAACGTGGTCAGGATGAGGATGGTGCCAGCTCTGGGATCAGCGAGACCAAGGGGCTGTGCTGCTGCCCTGGTGCTGCTCCTCACTGCTGCCCTGGTGGTGGGCACCCAGGGTAAGCAAACATGAAGTGAGCAGAGCTGGGATTCCCCCCCCCAAGGGGAAACTCCTTCCTGAGGTTCACAAAACCTTGATCCTATTTTCCTCTTTGTGTTTGAAGAGCCTTGTGAATCTGATCGCAACCATCTTCCTTTGCCTTTTTGCTTTCTGTGCAGAAAAAAGGCTGTAAAATTATTCTAGGTAACAAAGGTGCACTGCCTCATATGCTGCTTGAGGATAAGGAAGCTGTTGGTCTAGGCTGTTACCATCCTTGGGAAGCGCTGGATGAGGAGTGAAGAGTGATACATAGAGTGATGCTCATCCCCACTGCAGTCTGCCCTTCTCCCCTCTGCTTCCCTCTTCAATAAGTTTTATGGACTGGACTTTCAGAGCAAGCAACTCTCAAATTTGCAGTTTCCCCAGCATTTTCCTGATGGTGTTTCTGTTGGTAGGTGATTGCGGTGCTCCGCCACGGTTCTCATTTGCAGAACTGAAGGAGGACTACCTGCAGAACAAGACATTTTCCACCTCTCAAGTGGTGGAATACAGATGTCGTCCAGGCTACATGAGGAATGTCAAGGCCCGGACCACTTACATTTGTGATAAGGACAGCTGGAAAGGAATGGCCGACTTCTGCTTACGTGAGTACATTTTGGGTTGGCTTCTGATTTTGGGTGAATCCGTTGGCTTGTTGGGCAGCATTCTGGTGGTGGGGAGGTGGTGGAAGTCAGTGATGAGGTGCCTGGTGTACAACCTTGAGTGCCAGCAGCAGGAATCTGTCTGGATGTTGCTTGCCCTTCACCACTGACTCCAGCTATACTCAGAAGTGCATTTTTCCTCTCAGGTGCTTGTGAACACTTAGTTCAATAACAGTATTTCAAGCTTTCAGTAAGAGAATCCTTTAGTCTTGACAGCAACACGGGTCGTGCCACAAGTTAGAGTGGAAGGGGAATTCCAGAGAGCTGCGGTCCATCTGCTTGCTCAGTATTGGAGAGGTCTTCTGCTCTCCTGCTGGATGTTCCTCATTCTCCACGGACCTGAAGAACTAACTCTGGTCCTGTTGTCCCCCAGCAAAGCACTGCAGTTACCCTGGAGAGCCAACCAATGGCAGGCTTGTGGAAGTAGAGCAGTTCACCTTTGGGTCCATCGCGAACTACTCCTGTGACACTGGGTAAGCTGGGAGTACTTGGGGTCCTGCAGGTCCTTGTGACCCTGAGGGGATGTCCAGCCCAATTTCCTGTAAAATAGTGACTTCAGAGCTAATGCACTGACTCTGCAAATCAGATACAAGCTAAAAGGCCTTTATATTCCCTGGTAGGCTTTCTGAAGTCCTTTTGCTCTAGGTTAAAGCCTGTATTATCAGAAACCTTACGCTGGTGTAGGTAATGGTAGACTAATCAAAGTATTTTTTAACTTCTCCTTTGAAAGCTTGAAGGAGTTTTCTTCCCCTCATGCTTTGAAATGATTCTTAGGATTGTAGAATGGCACGGGTTGGAAGAGACCTTAAAGATCACCTAGTTCTTGCCAAGCTCCAGTTCATTCTCCAGGGCCCTTCTAAACCATTCCCAGTATTTCAATATATTTTTGAAGGAAACGCATCATTACTGAAATTAGAGCTTATGGTTATAGTTGAGTTATAGTTAACTATAGTTAGCTATAATTAACACGTTGTCTCACTGTTGTTTCACTGCAGTTGCTATCAACTATTCTACTCGTTTGGTTACGCTGGGCAAATTTCTTAATTCCATGGAAGCCAAAGCAATCCTGCTAGTGGTGTTCTAAATGAAATTAAAAAAAAAATATCTAAATTGCACTTGACAAGTAATTCCCTCCACTCGTTTTCCCACAGGTACAGACTGGTTGGCAATTCCCAGATTAGGTGTGTGATTAAAGATGGACATGTTGGTTGGGATGGAGACGTTCCCATCTGTGACCGTAAGTAGAGTCCTGCAGCTCAGCTGCTGTCTGAGTGGTACTGGGGATGGATGAAGATAGAGAGGGCTTTGGTCATTCACTGCATGTTGGAAATCTGGAAAAACATTTTTCTTAGTGTTTTCCTTCCTGCATCCCATGGAAGCATTCCCTGATAGTAAGGCAGCTGCCCATCACAGGGATGTGCCACTCAGCTGTGAGGCAGAGCTGCCCTGAGACCTGCCTCTAATTTCTGGCGCCTCGGGCATTTGTGTCTCAATTTCAAACCACGCGTTTAATTAACATTAATTTTTCAACTTTTTTTTTTTTTTTTTTTAGCAATTCCATGTTTGCCCCCTCCAAAAATAGCTAATGGAGATCACAACGGAGGTGACGTCGCGCTCTTCACTTATGGAGCTTCTGTCACCTACCGCTGCCACGCTGACAGCAGGGGGAGGAAGCATTTCTCCATGGTGGGGGATGCCTCTATTTTCTGTACGACCAACGACAATGTGAATGGTGTCTGGAACAAGCCAGCCCCGGAGTGCAAAGGTGAGTGGCAAACTGCCCACAGGAGACCTGGGAGGGGGTATTCATCTGAGGCCACGGAAGAAACAGAAGGCTTGCCAAGATTCAGAAGTTTGCTGTGATACCTGCTGCCTTTCCTTTGTTCTCATTCTTAATAAAATGGGGGGAAAAAACCCAATTAATAAAAAAAGATGTAATATTGGACGGAGACTTGAAAAATGCTGCTGCCTTGTCGTGCCCATTTCCATCCCTTTTGGTGAACGTGTGCTCCAAGAATCAGGGATTCATTAGGTTGGAGGGAGCTTTAAAGTTCCAGTTGCAGTTAAAGCTTCCAGTTGCAGCTCCCACCTACATTAGCAGTTGCCAACACCAGATCAGGCTGCCCCATTCACCCCGACTGCTCCAACAGCTACACTGCTTTTAATCATCCCCCCCTGACCCATCACTCATTGCCTGAGCTCTGTTGTTTCCCCCACGCAGTGGTGAGCTGCAGGGAGCCCCAGGTGGAGCACGGCAGGCTGCAGAGCAGGTACAGAGCTGAGTACAACTATGGTGACACCGTCGTCTTCGACTGTGATTTCCGTTACGTGCTGCTGGGCAGTGACACAACCATGTGCCAGGAGGATGGCAGCTGGGACCCCCCACTGCCACAATGCCAGCGCAGTGAGTGCCTGCAGGGACACAATCCAGGCAATGGCTGTGGGGGTGGTGGGCTGCATTCTGTCGTTTTGCCTCTTGCACCACGGTGGCTTGCATTGGAGATGATGTAGGCGTGGGACTTTATGACTTTGGGCCTCATAGCTAAAGTCTTGTTCCAAGACCCAAACTTGAGGAGAGTTTCTTCCTAGAATTCAGAGGGACTAAACTGACCTCTCTATACTCAATGCTTTTAAAGGCCATTGGTAGATTAGGGCAGAGAGTGTTGGCTTTGTTAGAAATTGCACGTCATTGCAACAAGTCAGTGTAAATCACCATACATTGTAATCACAGATCATGCATTTCATTTTACTTCCGTTGCATTCACTCTCTCAGTAGCACTGAACTCAGACAATTGGCTTAAGTGAACCTCAGGAAGAATCACATGAGCCCACGTTTTCCCCCAGATCCTTTCATGCTGTGTACTGTCCTGCACCTCACTGCTTTCTCGTTGGCAATGTCACGGAGTGTTGATTTCACCCTTAGGCAGCTGTGATGACCCTCCTGACGTGCAGAATGCTATTAAAGCAAGACTTGCTGGCAATTTATTTCCCGTTGAGACTGTCATCACTTATGAGTGCCAGACGGGCTACGAGTTCAGCCCTGGAGTAGTGATGCAAAACATCAGTTGTCTGCCAGACTATACATGGACTGAAATTCCACCACCCTGTGAAAGTAAGTGCACGTTCCTTCAGCTTAAGTATCCTTGTGTTTGGGCAAAGCTATTCCCAATTAAAGAATCCGTGTGCAGTCTACCTTATCTACCAAGCTTAACTATTATGCTTTCTGCTCCTTTGAACCCATGGAAAAAATAGTGTACCATCATTAAGATGGGATGGCATGGTGCTGCCAGTGCCCATTGGAGAGGGGAATGTACATCCAGGAAAACCCCATGAGTCCAATGGTGTCCATCAGCATTGGTGGTGGGATGCAATAACTTCATATGTATGCCCAGAAAATAAAACTGCCTTTAGGAGTGTCCAGAAATGGCCGTTCATTCTCCTTCTGCCTCAAATGAACCTGCTGTCATTGAGGTACTTATGCCATGATTTCACACTTGCTGCTGTTTGGTGTTTCTCAGGAATTAGTTGCCCGAATCCAGCTACCAAGAGGGGAATGCACATAAGCTCCTGGGGCAAGAAAGACACGTATGTGGTGGGAGACATAATCCGAATTTTTTGTGACTCTGGCTATGTTCTCAAGGATAGTGATGGTTATGTCGTGCTTCAGTGTACGAACGACGGCACATGGAACCGGGCAGCACCGGAGTGCATTCCAGGTAGGAGAGCTGCTGCATCACCTTGACTTGTTGGCTGCTTATTTGTGACTTTGGCAGAGGTTTGGGTCGCTCCGTGCAGGACAGCTGTCTGCTACCATCAGTAGAAATCTACCCGTGGCCTTACGTAGCTGCCTTCTCTGTGGAAAGTTTCTTCATGGGGTTCTTCCTAAAAATTCATGAAATCCTTTTATTTTTTCTCTTGCTCCTAGAACCTCGTTGCCCAAAGCCTGTCATTGACCACGGAAGAGAGGTTTATAAGAGCAAAAATGATTACACAGTTGGGACTCAAGTGAAGATAGAGTGTGATGAAGGCTACATGATCAGTATCCAAGAGTCGGTCACGTGCCGGGCTGATGGGAACTGGTTTCCCACATTACCCTACTGCCAGCAAGGTACATGCAAGGCAGGAGCTGTGATCAGCACAGGGGCAGGGCAGGCAGCCTTCCTTCAGCATCACCTCTGAGATGCAGAAAGGAGAGCACTGGCTGTGGGGCTGAAGGTGTCTTCCCCAGCAAATGCCAGGCAGGAGCTGAGCTGTGCATGGAGCTGAGTTCTTATCTGAATATGACAATTATGTATTTCTTTTTTTTCCTTCTTAATCTTTATTTCATAGCCTGCGGCCCTCCCCCGCAAATCACCCATGGGCTGGACATCAACCTCACGTCATCATTCTTCCCCTATGGCTACAGAATGAAATATGATTGTGCTGCGGGGCTGTCCCTCATCGGGGATGAATCCATTTATTGCACCTCTGAAGATGGAGTGAACCTGGAATGGAGCGGCCCTGCCCCGGAGTGCAGGGGTGAGTCTATAGGGTCACCCCAAAACTGGGGCATCAGGAGGAGCCCCTCATTCATTCCCCCCACCCACTTTCTGTCCCAGGATATGAGGCATCCCTGTACTACAGCTCTCTGTTCTCTCCCTAGCGGTTCGCTGCCCCAAGCCCGTGGTTGAGAATGGAGAGATGGTTACACCACAGCACACGTTCCCCTATGGGACATCCGTGCGCTTCTCCTGCCATGAGGGCTTTGCACTGCATGGCAATGCTGAGAGTCGCTGCGTGGCTGATGGCAGCTGGCAGCCAGCCCTGCCTGAATGCCAGCCAGGTGAGTCCAGCCCCACAGACCGAGGCTGGCAGAGCACTGTCTCCTCCTGTTACATTATAATGCTGTGTGTTTGCCTTCTAGTTAAGTGTCGTGCACCAAAGAGCAAGGAGAACCTACAGATTTTCTCTGACAGGGAGGAGTACGAGTTTAATGAAACTCTGTACTTCTCCTGCAAGCAGAGCAGCAATCTGGGAGAGATGTCGTTAAGCACCTGCTCTACTGGTGGCTCTTGGATGCCACCACTCAACTGTGTGAGTACCACTGCTTTGTGTTTTGCCCCATTCACAGCTTGGAACAGCACCAGTCTGCCTTCATGAACACGCTTTGTTAAGATGGGGCTGGCACAGCTGTGGGTCTGCATGGTGGGGGTTTGCAGCACGTGGGTCCCCGTGGCATTGACTCACGCCCTCTGTCTTTGTCTTGGCTCTTTTAAAGAAAACATTTCACACGTGCAAGAAGATTTGTCAAATCCGGGAAACTTTTGAGTGCGGAGTTCCTCTGGCAGAGCTGAGAACTTTGCTGGAAGTACAGAAACTCTACCTGGAGATCCAGAAGCTGGAGAAGGATCTGGGAGGCAGAGGAGGCCGCTCATGACTGTGACTGGTATTGTGGTGGGAAGAAACAGTCAGAGAAGTGAACAGATTCCTGTCATAGGAGGAATCAGAGTCTTTTGACTCATCCTGGTAGAGCTTGCTGCATTAAGTTTGTGCATCACTTTATACCTTTTAAAGCTTTACATTTAGGTCTGTTATCCTGAGAGATGAGTGGTCTGAAAGGAATGGAACTGAGAGAGAATTGTCCGAGTCACACACGTGTATGGAGAGCCATCACTCACCCTCTTCATCTGCAGCCCCATTCGGCCCATCGCTGCGTGCCAACAAGTGTTAACAGCCTAATTAGCCACAGCCTCCAGAGCTACATGGTGCAATGGAGAAATCCTCCAGGCAAAACTAAACGCCAGCTTTTCCTGCCGAGTAGGACAGTTTGATGTGGGCTCTGTGTGCCCACTGCACAAAGTGGAGCCCATGGAAATAAAACTGGAAGGAAAGAAGTGGCTGAATTATTTCTGCGACGTCCAGCGAAGGGGAAGTGCTCTGCTAACTCGTATCGTGTGACCAGACTGGTGTTCCTTCACTGCTAGATTTATAATAAAGCTGCAGTTCTAATGACTGCTGTGCCTTGTTTGCAGTAATTCTGCCCTATCTGTGGTATAGAGCAGGGGGCTGTTCATACTCAAGTGAAAAGGCAAAGGGGACACGCAGCCCTGTTCCATGCACTGCCTGTGGCTCTTTCTGCTCCAGAAAGAAGGCAGAGCAGCTCTGCCCATGTAACAGCTTAGCTCCCCACCATCCCCACACACTGCAGAAGGAGGGCAGTGCTGCCATCAGCGTGGCCCGCCTGCTGTCCCCCACTTCCTCCACCTGCTTCCCCTTCCCCTGAGATTTTTGCAGTCCTGTGGCACAGCCGCTGCTCGCCATGCAGCTGCTCCTGCACTGGATGGGGCCGTTGCTGGCACTGCTGCTGCTGCAGCCAGCGGGGAGCCTGGGTGAGTGCCACCTCCTTTCCTTCCTGCTATGGCTCAGCTTTGCTTTTCGATCCAACATGGGATAACCTCTGCTGGAGGTGCTGCTAACCTCTTGCTGATGCTCTTGTAGAGCTCGGTGCCTACTGCTCATGGCACATTTTTCCTCTTTGCTTGCACCTGCAGATGCTTGCAAAGGGACACCCCAAATTCCCAAAAGCAGTAATCTTACAGTGCCTTAGGGGCTGCAAGCTCATCCCTGTGCTACCCAGGGTCAGGTCCTTGTGCAGAGTTTTGCTGAGCCTGTCCAGGGCTTTGCTACCCGCTGCCCTGGGTCCTGCTGATCAATGCAGTAGCAAAGAGTCATTCCCTGGGCTGGAGCGTGTCCTGCAGCTTGGAGGCTTGAGATGAGGATGGTGGTTGGATGGGGAAAATCAATTGGACAGGTGATAGCTTAATCGTTTAATTAAAAGGGACATAATTAGCAGTTTGAGTGGTGTCAGTGGTGCGTAATCACCGAGGTCAGGATGGTGCTGGCTGTCACGCGTCCTGTGGGCTGGCTGCATGAGAAGCAGTGGTTTGCTCTGTAGTGACCCTCAGAAGAGGAATAACTCCCTATTTCTGCTGCAGCTGACGCTGCCTCTAACAGCAGGTGCCCCTCTGATGCACAGAGCAAGCAGTGCAATGAAAGGTCAGAACCAACTATGGGTTGTACCCGTGGAATCCTGCTGCTGATGGCTCCTCAAGCATGCTGTTAACACCCAATCTCCCCATTCCAACTGCTGCGCTCGCTAAACCAACTCATTTATCAGAGGAGCAGGGATCTGCCAATAAGAACCCTCCTGCAAACTCCCATTTGTTTGCTGCTGCAGAGGTGCAGTGCCCGGTCCCAACCATCCCTCATGGGTGGCTGAATCCTGCACAGAAGAATCTCAGTGCTGGGAGCACAGCCGTGCTTGAATGTGAAGCTGGCTACGTCCCCGTGGGCAGCAGCAGCGTGAGGTGTCTGAGCAGTGGCAGATTGCAGCCACGGGCACCAGCATGCACCCGAGGTACACACGGTCTTTCTTCTTGGTCTTTTTCCCATGCATTCATGTGGGTTTATTTGCTAAAAGTGCATCAAGGTGGGCTGGGACCCCAAAGCTCAGCCCCATCCTTGGTTGTGGGGTAGAGCTGTTGGCTCTGTGTGCTGCTCCCCAGGTCGCTGTCCTTCCCCTCCTGCTGTTGACTTCGCCGACCGCAGACCTCCATACGAGCTCCTGGTGGGTTCCACCATCACCTACTTCTGCAGACATGGGTACACGTTGATCCCTGGCGTATCTCCAACAACAACGTGTCTCAAAAATTTCACCTGGTCCGCGATCCCAGCGCTTTGCCAGAGTGAGTGTTCCCTTCTCTTCGCCTCGCCAACAAAAACCATCGATTTAACGAGGTGGAAATAACATAGTTTTCAATCCTTCAGTGGTGCTGTGCTGCAAGGGCTTCATTTAGCAGTGCTTGGGCTCTCAGTGATAATTTTGCTGTTCTAAGTGTGGCATGGTGGAAAAGAAACACCAGAAACTCACGCTAATTATTTAGCTGCCCCAGCAACAGCAATATGTTGTCCCACTGGTGCCATCTACAGCAAACCACGGGGTTCAGACTGTTCTGTCTACAAAAGGAAATGGTGGTATCACATAATTACAGTGTGCCACGGCTGGGTGGTGATGCCTGGCTAGTTTGCAGTGCTAACAAGCACTGGAAACAGGCTGGCCCAATCCATGGAGCTTTCTGATGGCTCTGTCCCTCAGTGGTGCAGTGCCCGAGCCCAGCCATCATCAACGGGAGGGAGACGAGTGCAAAGCAAGAGAAGTACAGTGTTGGACAGCAGGTGGAGTTCCAATGCAACCCGGGCTACACGTTGTGGGGCAGCCAGAGGACTCAATGCTGGTCGGATGGGACGTGGAAACCCCCGGTGCCATACTGCGATAAAGGTGAGCCCAAATGACTCTTCCTTGATGGGAGCTGGGAATTGCATCTCTACAGCACGTGGGAGCAGTGAAGAGAAAATCCTATAACCTTTGGCATCCTATCTGTTTTCTCTCGTAGTCTGCGTCCCCCCTCCGCTGATCACCAATGGGCAGCACTCCGGCTTGAGAACAGAACTCTTTCCCTACGGTACAGAGGTGAAGTACAGCTGTGCTGCAGGGCTGTCCCTCATTGGGGATGAGTCCATCTACTGCACCTCTGAAGATGGGGTGAACCTGACATGGAGCGGACCTGCCCCAGTGTGCAGAGGTGAGTCACAGCAAAGCCAGAGCACCAGGAGGAGCCCCTCATCCCCACGACCCTTCTTGTGTCCCAAGGGATGAGGCATCCCCCTAACACAGCCCCCTGCTCTCTACCCAGTCGTGCGCTGCCCCAGGCCCGTGGTTGCCCAGGGAAGGATGGATGTGTCATGGCACACGTTCTCCTATGGGACATCCGTGCGCTTCTCCTGCAACGAGGGCTTTGTGCTGCATGGCAATGCTGAGAGTCGCTGCGTGGCTGATGGCAGCTGGCAGCCAGCCCTGCCCGAATGCCAGCCAGGTGGGTCTGACTTTAACAATTGATTTCTCATTTCTACAGATTGAAAACCACCTGCACTTCATTCTACTCATCTGCTACAATTTCAGGCTTGGTTTTCTACCCACACAATGACATTCCCCTTGCTGAGCTGCTTTCTGCTGTGTGATTTGCTTTCAGTTCTGTGTCCCAAACCACAAGTTGCCAATGGAAAGCTGACAAGCACTGATCAGGCGTGGTACCCAATAAACACAACGGTCACATTTGTGTGCCACGAGGGATATCACCACTTCTCAGGTGATGGAGAAGCCGCATTAAAAGACTCTTGGACAGCCACCTGCTTGGCTGATGGCAACTGGACACCATTGCCCAAGTGTGTAAGTACTGTGGTGTGGCTGTTTTTGGATGAATGCTGCCTGATCTCTGCTATGAAAAGTAACCCTGACCCTCTTAAAAAGCCTTCCCTTCATTGCTGTGGTGGGGGATGCAGCTGTGTTCAGCCGATGCACAGCAAACTGGGAAGGAGTGCAGCCTCAAAGCTGCAGTGTGGGTCCCCATCTGCAGCAATTCAATCACACGTGGCTTTCTCTGTTTTCGGTGTTGTTTTGCTTAACAGAAGAAGGAAGGTGATGCTGATGTGTGTGGAGAGGTTGCTTATATTCAGAGCATCATCTCTGACTGCCACGTGCCGACAGAGGATGTGAAAACTCTGCTGGAAATACAAAAACTCTTCCTGGAGATTCAAAAACTGAAAATGGAATTGCAAGGACTGGAGCACATCCTGCATTAAACAGCCTTCCCCGTGGGCACAGTCCATACAGTCAGATTTCCTAAAAGAAGCCTCCTAGGAACTGTATGGTTTTTGCTTCTATAGGGCCAGATCACTTCTGCCATGCTACATGCTAGAGCACAGAGGGGTTTTTGTTCTAACCCTCAGATAGGACACGCTTGATTCGCTGTGTACCACTTTTTGCTTTAGGAAGCAAAGCAAGAAGTTCAATTGAGCTTCTCTGAGTCCCTGTATAAATTGTGCTAAGCCAGAAGTGGGGTTGAAGTCTGCAAAAGCAAATTCCTGGCAGAGGTGATTTCCCAGAACCAGGCTGCAAGTGTTTGCATACCTCGCTTATCTAGACATAGCAATGGAGTGAGTGCTGAGCTGCATCACTTCCTATTAACCTGTGTCATGATTTTATGGTTTCTACTCATCTAGTTATGGGCAGTGTCAGGGCAGTAACAAAACCAGGCTCTAAAGCCCACTTGCTTATCCCTGGATTTTAGAGGTAACAGGATTCTGTACTTGAGAGATGCCAGTGTTGGTCTCATCTTCCACATCCCTGTGTCTGCAAGCAAATGCTAAGAATAGAGGGTGCAAGTTTAAGTACAGAGAATCAGATAGCAATGATTTCTCTTATTATTCAATAAACAATAATCCCTTCATGCATGCATCTCTGCAATGAAAGAATCAGGAGCTCCATTCAGCAGCTCAATAGAACAGATGTGTGACTGCAGATGTCCTCTGGTCTGTCATATTGGCTGCAGATGAAGCAGTGTTTGTTGAGGTCAGGCAGATGTGGCCAAGAGCAGAGCAGTGGGGAGGGGAGGGAGGGGGGCACAGGGCAGGTATGCAATGAACACGTGGCCCTGGGCTGTGCTGTGCTTCTGCCATCATCCCTGGTACAACGCCCAGGGGAGTGATGACATCTCATGGGATGCAAAGAGATGCTTTGCTATTGCATCCCATGCTTCACCAAATGGATGAGGGGATGCAGTAACAGGGTGCAGAGCTGGTTAGCTGTCTTTGTGCCACATGGAAACCCATGCTGTGGCCACCTGGTGCCACACCAGAGGCAGCATACCTCCCTAAGCAGTGCTGAAAGCACCAAGAAGATCAGGGTGTTCTGCCCTGTGTGTTCCCATCGATGCATCTGTGTGCCCTAGGCTGATGTCATGTTTATTTCGGTGCAGATGGAGCTGCTCACATCCCTCTCTAATTACCAATGAGTCAAGCAGCCAGGAAAAAATTAACAGACAAAAAGGATAATTCTTTTATTTTAGTTTCAGTAACTCTGCTCATGGAAAAGCTGTGCTGTTACTGCCAGCAAATGACTGAGCAGGGGCCGGGGGCTTAAATCTTAAAGCTTTATGTCCTGGCAGCATCTGGTTGTGGTAAATCTGTGCTCACTGCCAATCTCGTGTCAATAAAAGGGTTGAGGATTCCCCCAGCCCTGTGTGTATTGGCTGGGAGGACACAGAGGCTTTGCCCAGGCCCCTGGGTGATGACTGCTCCCTGTGTTCCTGCAGAAGGGCTGAGCTCTGTGTGAGTTCTGGGAGGGTTTCCATTGTTCCACCAGTTTGGCTGCATCCATGATGCTGCATCCCCTCCCAGCTTTCCAAAGCAGCTGCTAGGAGCCAGCAGCACTCTGCAGAGCAGCGCAGGGACTGCTGCGATGGGGTCTGGAGGAGGAGGGAAGCACCCAGACACCTCGAGCTGCTGGGCTCGTGCTGCAGGGCAGGGATCCATACGTCCTGCACTGCTCCTGGCTCTGCTGTGGCTCCTTGGCATGCCGATGGCTCACGGTAAGTACAGCATTGGGATTCATGGGGGGCAGCAATGAGACCTTCCCAGGTCCCATCATTCTGCTGAGGGGCTGGGGATGACAATACCACCATCCCCGAGGGCTGCAGCTCAGCCTGCTGCCTTTGTTCAGGGGAAGATCCTGAGCTGTCCTCCTGGGAGTGGAGTTCTCACCCTAGGAGGTCTTCTCACACCACAGGTGCCTGTGGGCCCCCACCTCGCATGACCCACTCCCAGCCTTCCGGAGTCGAGCAGCTCAGCAGCTTCCCTGTGGGCTCCAGGGTGACCTACACGTGTCTGCACGGTGCTATCAGGATCCCTGGGGTGTTGGATACGGTGCAGTGTCTGCCTGACTCACGCTGGTTGGAGCTGCGTGATCCCTGTGGCCGTAAATACCCCCTTTTCCTGACAGAGCTGCCTCTCACTTAAAGCTTCTGCAGCAGCTGCTCTGCACGGTGTGCATACTTTACTGCTGCAAAGATGGGCACGGTGCTGTTGATGATGGGTGAGTGGAGCTGCAGCTGTGATGCTGCTGTTCCTGCTGAGCCGCATCCAGCAGCTCCTGGCAGCACGGTGCGTGGTGCTAGCAGCTTTGTGCATGCAGTCAGAGCATCCCAGGCTGCACTTTGCTTATGGATGTATGCATTTAGCACGGCTGCAGGCTGAGAGAGCAGAAGTAAGAGAGCAGAAGTAACCTGCAATGAGCACACAGAGCTCTTCAAAGGCTCCATAACAAGGATTTCTGAACTTTCAGGCTCTGCTTTGCACGGCTCTCATTGCCTGCTCTCAGACCTGCTCTCCTTGGTTGCCAGTGAGCTGCACTACACCGACCACACTGCACTTTGCTGCCCTGTCCGAGGCGGACGAGATGACCAATTTCTACCCTGTTGGGTTCACTGTGAGCTACGTCTGCCGCCCTGGTTATGAGAACATCTCAGAAAGCCAACCCACCAGCACCTGCCTTGAGAGCCTGATGTGGTCAGAGGTCCCAGAGTTATGCCAGAGTGAGTACAGCCTCTGCCTGCTGCTGAGCATCCCCATGCTGAACCATGTCCCTTTGGCCACACACTTAATGCAGGCTCAGCTGGATGTTCCTCTTTAAGACCTCATACAGGAATTATTTCATTTATTTGGTAGAGTTCTATATTTCCTGTTGGCACAAACACATCTGTTTTGATTTTCACGTAATGTTTGCAGCTGGACGTAGCATATGCATGGGACAAGTGCCAACTTGCAGGGAGGATTTCTAGCACTGAAGACCAAGCATGTTCTCTAATGAAATCCATACAGCATTAAGAAGGACGGTGTGGCAGCTGTAGGTTTCTTACAGCCGAGCGCCCCACAGCCAAAGCACTGGGATGGATGCTCACTCTGCCCTTCTCCCTGCAGGGAAATCATGTGGTCCCCCAGCGGCCCCACCTGCAGGGAGGACCCTCCAACCCACAGATTTTCTGTTTGGCACACGTGTGATCGTTCTCTGCAATGAGGGGTGAGTCCTGAGGCAGTGCTGGTGTTGGATCACAGCACTCCTGGTGCTCATGCATGGAGCTGTGGCTCTGGGCTGGGTTGCTCTCTTGCAGCTGTCCCTGCTGCAGTGCTTTGGCGATGAGTGCTTTTCCCTTTTGAATTCCAGCTTTGGGCTGGGAAGGGATGAGGCATAGCTGGAGTGAGTGGGCTGGGCCCTGGGTTTATGGCAGCCTTTTTTTTTTCAGGTGTCATCCAGAGGAAATCTAATTGCTGGGGGTTAAATACCCCAGCAGGGCTGTTGTGGTATCACTTTGTAGCTGCAGACCTCAAAACAGATTACCTGCAGTATTTCAACTGGAGGTGTTTGTGCTATAATAAATAAAAGGAGTTATGTTTGAATGTTCAAGCTGAGCTAGAAAACAGGAGCAAAACCCTTCCCACCCATCAGTCTGACTCATGCCCTCTCTCTGCTTCCAATCAGGGCACACATGCAGTGCTAGCCGACCTGCAGGCTTGCAAAGTGGAACTTGTACATATCCAGCTTCTGTTCCTTCCTCCCCAGCAGGAGCTGGCATCGCCTGCTTGTTCTGTCCCTCTGTGCAGCAGAGACTTTTTCCTACAAATATTCCCTTAGGGAGGTCTGGAGGGAAATGACAGCACATCCCACGGATGGGATACACACATGAGGGTGGAGGGATTATGTTATCCATGGAAGCAATATTAGCTATTATCACTGGTATGCAAATGATGACGTTTCAGAGCAGGAGGATGCAAGTGAGTGCTGCCAGGACAGGAGCTCAGCTTCCAGCAGCACGTCCATGAAAGGCAGATTCCCATCTGATCACATCAGCACTGGCAGGAAAACGCTCACAGTTTCAGGGTACTCACCCAGATTTCTTCCATTGTGTGCTTTCATACAGGTACCAACTCCACGGGAGGAATTTCATCCAGTGTTGGCTTAAAGGAGACGACGTTGAGTGGAGTAAACTTCCAACCTGTGAATGTAAGGCTGATCTGATCCTCCTCTGAGCTCCCACAAGATAAGGTCTGCTATAAGACTGGTGTAACTCCATCTACACAGCGTTTGTTTTTCTTTATGCTACGTGCCACCAACGCTGCAGCTCAGAAGAGCCCATTCTGCTGCTGATGCTGCATTTCAGCAGTTCCGTTCCCACAGAATCACAATATTTTCTCATGACGTGAGGTGAGCAGTGGAAGCCCTGAGATTTCTAGGGCTGAAGAGCCAGGGCACAGCAAGCTGAGCACAGGGAGCACTGGCAGCCCATCTTTACCTGTTCAGATCTCTTCAGATATCTTAGCTGGGTTCAGAAGAAGCATTTCACATTCATTATTCCTGAGGCTTTCAGTAATGCTGATCTTGGCTTTCTGTCATGCAGTAATCACCTGCTCTTCACCTCCTCGGATCAGCAATGGGAGGCACGATGGTGAAGGTGTAGAAAAGTTTCCTTACAACTCAACAGTGACCTACAGCTGTGACTCTGGCTTCCAACTCATTGGGAATGTGAGCATCCGTTGTACGAGAGCAGACAGTGCAAGAGGGGTCTGGAGTGGAGCAGTGCCCCAATGTAAAGGTGATTTCCTGTGCATTAAGGATTTCTGATGGGTTTGGTGCTCACTATGTACCAGCTGAGCCTACTGTGATTGCTCAGCACAGGCATGAGCCATACTGTGATCTGAAGAAGAAACCAAGCAGAGCTGCTGAGTAAGGGATGAAGTGTCTGAGAGGGAGAGCTTTGACCAGTGTGTCTTGTTTTTACCACAGAGAAAAGCCCACCTGTCAAACTTGCAGTAAAACCCATGGGAAGGAGTCCTCCTCCCCAGAGTGAGTTGCAGTGATTCCAACCCAATTGAATTAAACCCCACATTTCCAGACTTAATTTTCCCCTTTATCACAGCTCAGTGAAAAAGCCGTTCTGTGAGTTTTTGTGGTTTTCATTTTTTTCAGGTTCCCAGAGACGTGACCTCAAACCACCCAAGAAGACTTTCACAATGGAAATGAAAATGAGCCTCTATAAGAAGTCACTCCAAAACACCAACTCCTTTTCTTCCTCTTCTTCATTCTCCAGGAAACCAGGTGAGCCCAGCGCAGCCCATAGAGCTCAGAGTTCATTCGTGGCACCTATGGCTTGTTCCCTTTCCATATCCACAGCCCTCATTCCTTCCCATGTTTCTCCTCCATGGCAGGGAGCTGTGCTACCTCAGCTCTCAAATTCGTGATGCCTTTGTACAAAACCCAAAGCTCCTTCTCTCCTGGAACCCACAAGCAATCATCTCCGTGTTCTCCCAAGTACCGCAGCATCTCTGCTGTTCTCCCCAGGGCTGGCTGCTCTGACAACACATGGTGGTCTAAAGCTGCAGCATTTTGTGGAAGTGAGTGTTTCATTTGTTTACCTGCTGTTAGAAGTGATGCTGCAGCACACAGCCCGGAGCTCTGAGCTCCACCCCAGCTAAGGCTGTGTTGTTCCACACCAGCAAGGTCGTGGGCAGCCAGGAGAACCCGGACGTGGCAGAAGTGCTGCTATCACCAATTCCCCATCCGTTGCAAAGGGCTCTTTTACCTGTAGGAATGGTGAGTGTTGGTTGGGTTGGAAACAGCGGCAAAGCAGGAGAGGTAAGCAGAAAATGATCAGTGGGAATGGCATAGGACCCCCAGAGACCACTGGAGGGTCTCACTGCACAGCTGGAGATGTGGAGCAAAGCCTTTGGGTGTGAGCCCATCCCATCCCTGCACTGTTCCTCCTGGATCACAAAGAGGGATGAAGTTGGGGATGTAGGCCCTTGCTAGTAACAAAGACTGGCTGGAAGCATCCTGGAAAACACAGCAGGGATGGAAAGGGAAAAGCTTTGCCCTGTCGTTTTTTTTTTTTCCCTTCTAAAAACCCTCTCTGCTGCTCTATTATGTGCCTTCAGAGCGAAAACAGATCTAAAAACCTCTTCCTGTTGGTTTTCCTTTTTAATTGTTTTGTCATTCCTGGCATTTCTTCAGCAGTTTGGGTGAACGCAGCAGCTCCAACCCGGCCGTGACTCAAAGCAGAGCCCCGACACATCCCAGCCATGGGGAAACCCGATTGGAGGCACTGAGCTCTCCCTGTGTGCCTGCACACGCTGTCTCATGCAATTCAGTGGTGTACCATGGCCTAAACACCTTGTTTTTTATCTAAAAGAAAATGGCACTGTAAGTATAAACCACCGAAATCCGTCATTGCGCTCTGCTCCTGAGGCACCTCCTGCAGTGGTTGTGCTTCTTCAGACTCACTTGTTTTCCTTTGACACAAGGAAGCTATGCCAGGCTCGCCTCACAGACATGTATGAAGTATGTTTTTCTAAATTGTGATGTGCTTGAAGGTTTCCAGGATGAAAATTTATGGGCACCGATGTTGGCTGATTGCCATGGCTGCCTCTCCCATCGGAGATGTTAGCTGTTCATAGAACCCTAGAATAGCCTGGGTTGAAAAGGACCACAATGATCATCTCATTTCAGTACCCTGCTGTGTGCAGGATCACCAACCACCAGACCAGGCTGCCCACAGCCACATCCAGCCTGGAGCTCTAAGGTCACAAATCCACTCATCAATCCCTCTGAGCAAAGCAAGCTGTGGTTTCCCCAACCCTCTTTGTGCTGTTTGCAGAATTTCAGCCAGATCTCCTTGGTGTCACAATCTCTTACAGTCAGAGTTTCCACTCCCCACCCCCCCACCTAGAGATACAGACTGCTGCCACAGCAATTGGCACAAACACAGAGGCACGCAGGGAGCCCACAGAGGAGACTCAGATATCCGCAGTGCTCCCTTGTCACAGCCATAGTGCAACCAGAGTGCTGCCTTCCTCCATTGCCCTCCTGTTAGAAAACCATAGCACTCTGCACAAGAAATTAAATACTGGCCTTTTGATCTTTGGCACTGTAAGCACTTTCATTTGCAAAAGCTTCTTGTTGTTGTTGTATCAAATGTAATTATTAATATTATTATTTTTGCCACTTGTATTTCCATTGAGACTACAGGAAAGCTAACAGCCACAAGTATTGTTCTCATGTCATCACAGTGCAACAGAGAAAGCAGAAATGCCAGTGTTACGTCATTAGCTGTCATCTCTGTCCCATCCTGTGCTGTAACTGTCTTATATTTGGGGGTGTCTGGGTCTTTATTTACAGTTCATAATAAATGACGGCTGTTTCTGAGCGCCAGCTCAGTGCTTGCTGTGTGCATTGCACGTTGTGTTCAAGGCTTTGGGAGACATCTCGACGAGGTGAGCAATTCTTTATCGTCACTCCTCCATATTTATCTCTGAGTTTGATTCTGATGCAAGTTTAGTTTCCAAGAAATAAAGCAAGAAAGAAAAGCAGCCCGTGCAGCAGTGCTGGGGAATGCGAGTGCTCCCAAAAAGCACTTTGAATCAGAGAGGTGAGCAACATGGCAGGGGGGGGGAACACACACCTGCCTGAGCCCCTCTGCATTATGGGCCCCTCTGGGCAGACTGGGTGGGAGCTGCTGACCGTAGGGCTGTGCAGATCCGAGGGTGGAGGGCACAGTTCTATGGGCAGCTCCCACGCGTGGCTCTGCAAACTGGTTTGGCTGGAAACCTCGTGCTCTTCCTGCCAGAGCCTGGGTCTGCTCCAGCTGCAGTGCTGCCCTCCCTTCTGCCTTTGGCTTCTGCACGGGGAGGGCTGGCAGGGTGAGATAACACAGTGGCTGCAGCGAGCAGAACTGCTGTGCTGTCAACTGGCTCAGCTAAGCTCAGCTCAGGGTCGGATGCTTCTCTGCGCTTTGTTTTCTTGCCCTGAGGTCGCTGCCGTAAAGCAATACCAGAGATTTCCCAGCATTTAGAGCATTTTTTTCCTGTTTTACGCAACCCAGCCGCTGCCCTCATTCACACCGCAGGTGACCAGCGATCTCCACATACTCAGTCATCACAAGTACATATCTAAAATGAGTACACCATCCAGGCTGCCTGACCCCTCCCTTAAGAAAACAGCTCTTGGCCCCACTGCAAACGCTTTGGATGGAGCTCAAGCCGTATTGAAAAAGGAAATAAGGCTTAAAAAATATATAATAATAACAATATTAAAAGATAACTGAGTTCTCCGTGGAATTCACCCTTTACTGGGTGATGAAGGGAGCCGCCCAACCTCAAGAGGGAGGATGAAGACAGACCACCGCTGCCCCGAGCCCGAGGGCGGCTCCGCTCCCCTTGCTGCGGGCCGGGCGGGGCCGGGGCCGGGCGGAGCCGGGGCTGGAGGATTTCCCCAAATGCCCGCTGGCCGCGATGGGCTCCGCTCCGTACCGCTCGCTGCTGCCGCTGCTGCTGTCCCCGCTGTCGCTGTTGCCCGTGGTGTGCGGTGAGATCCTTCGCGCTGCGCTCCTTCGCGCTGCGCTCCTTCGCGCTGCGCTCCTTCGCGCTGCGCTCCTTCGCGCTGCGCTCCTTCGCGCGCCTCGGTGCGGAGCTCCTCCTGAATGCGTTTTTCTTCTCTCACAGGTGACTGTGGGCCGCTGCCCAGCCTCAGCAGGGCAGAGCCCCCGGAGGACATCCGGCACAAGGACAGCTTCCCCGTGGGCTCCAAAGTAACGTACAGATGCCTCCAGAATTTATCGAAAATCCCATCTCGGTTGGATACAATAATGTGCCTTAATAACTCCTTATGGTCCAACCTGCAGGAGTTCTGTGACCGTGAGTAGTTTGCTGCTTGGGACTGTATTCATGGCTGTAGCAATCACGGCTGTAAGGGCTTCCTCATCTGAGGAACTTCTTGTCCTTCTTCCTGACTGTGCCTTGCCTTGGATCAGGTGCCTCTGTGTTAATAAACACAGATACCTCAGGGCAGCACAGCAGTGAGGGGAAGAAAAATAGCTGGGGAGCACCGGCACAGCCCAGAGCTTAATTTGGACTTAACAACGTGGGAAAGTCTGTGGCTAATTGGCTGTGCTGGCTCACACCAAAGGTTCTACCTGTGGAGCTGTCAGTGCAGGTGGGCACCCAGTTTGTGGGCAGCTCCAAGAAAGCACAACTGAACATTTGAAATCTTTTCCAGTGAAGCAGCCCTCTGTGGACATTTAAAAAACCATAGAGATTATCCATTGCTTTCTTAAAGCAGTCAGTGTAGCAGTATCCTAAAGGCTTGTGCATGGTTGTATGTATTTGTACCCATCTGAATGCAAAATATTGTTGTTTCTTGCTTTGGAGCTGTACGCTTGTCTGTCCTCGTTACCAGGCAGCTGCCAGAGCCCTCCCCAAGTGGCTTTTGCCAAACTATCAGAAGAAGATGAAATGAAGAATTTTTATGCTGTTGGGATCACTGTGAGCTACGACTGCAACCCAGGCTATGAGAACAGCACTGCTGAACTCCCCACCAGCACCTGCCGTGAGAATTCAACGTGGTCGGAAGTTCCTGAGCTGTGTCACAGTGGGTGCCTCTGCATCGTTTCCTTCCCTCCAGCTTCCCCCTCCTGCTGCAGCCTCAGCACAGGGCACGGGGCTGCTTTCCTAAACATTTAGCTTGAAACACCACCACGAAAATCACATCAGCTCTTCTATTTCTGTTGCTCCGCGCCCTAAGGATGCTCTCATTTCTTTAGAGCAGTCTTGTGGTCCTCCGACAAATCCAGAACACGGCACTGTTGTGGCAACAGATCACCTCTTCCTTGCGAGAGCCGAGGTGGTTTGTAATAAAGGGTGAGTGTGAGGATGCCCATTGCCTTGGGGGGGGTCCTGGGGGTGTCAGTGCATGGAGCATAGATGTGCCTTTTCCACCTGCAGGTACACACTGTCATCAAGGGTATCGTTCATCCGATGTTTCACTCAGGGAAATGGGGTTGCCTGGACTCCACTTCCAACGTGTCAGGGTAAGGGAGGCCAGCAGCACTTGGCTGGAAACATGGAATATCTGTATTAAAAAAGCGTTGAATGTTGTGGGTTTTACCAGTTGTTGTGGATTTGTGCTTTGTGAGGCGGTGCCCAGCTCCATCAGAGAGCAGCGTGGGCTCAACGTGCACAGCCTCATAGTTTTCCCTTCAAATGCAGCATGTTTCAAGTGGGTTGGTAGCAGAAGAGCATTTATATTCCATCTCCAGTAAATTAAACATTTTTGACCATTTCTCCTTCAGTTTCTCCCTCTGTAACTGGCACTACAGCAGTGACAAACTCAACCCCTCATTTGGAAGAGAAGGCATGGGAGAACCGCTACATCCTACGTAAGAGCTCAGGAAGGCTCTTTGTGCCTTCAGGCCTCTGTGATTGTAATCCTTGCACCCCACTGCAGAGCCTCAGTGGCTTTTTTTTGGTTTTTTGTTTTGTTTTGGTTTGGTTTTTTGTTTTGTTTTTAATATCAGTTTCTTTGTTTTCTTATCCAGCACTTGTCCTCATCCCTTGTGTCACTGGTAAGTAGCTTAACGTGGAAGATGTCTTTTCCTGACATGCCTGCGATTTGCTATTGAACATATGGGGCCGTCGTGTTGGCTTCTTCATTTCTAAGCTCCTAGTGATGAGTTTTATGGGTTCCTGGGTTTCTCTGTCGTTGGGCCATGCAGCAGCACCTCACGCATTCCAATGGGTTATCTTATGGTAGAATATGTCATCAGTTGATGGGATGAAGCCAAGGAGGCCAATGAAAGAAGTTGATCATAAATGATACACCCTGTGACTCTTCACTGATAACGTTGGTTTTCAAGGCCTTGGCAGACTGTGGGAGATGAGAGGTAATAAATCTCAGAGCATTCTTGCTGCAAAAGAGATCAAGTACAGGAACAGCAAGTATCTTTAAAATACAAAATGAAAGCAAGCTGTCTGTAAGAGCAGCAAATAAATGAGGATGGTACCTTTCAGCGTGGCACAACTCCTAGAGATCCTTGTCCTCATTTTCCAGAGATACAAAAGGGAGTTGCACTCCTCTGGCTGAGAAGGAGCCTCTAGGTGGGGACAGTGCTGCAGAGCACTGAATTTTGCTGCCCGTCTTTCACCATTAGGAGAGGCACATTAGGGATGTTTCACACACTTGACATACCTTACGCACTGGATTTGCTGTTTATCATTTGTTTTCTTCCCAAGGAGTTGCTGTGATTGTCGCTTGGAGCATCAAGAAGTTCAGTGCGAGTAAAAAGACTGGGTAAGTGGGCTCTGCTCTTCATTCCTCAGTCACCTTTGGCTTTTTCCTAATGATGGGGGTATTTCATAGAATCCTAGAATGGCCTGGGTTGAAAAGGACCGCAATGATCATCTCGTTTCAACCCCCCTGCTATGTGCAGGGTCACCAACCACCAGCTCAGGCTGCCCAGAGCCAGAGCACTTTAAGCTCTGAGCAGTGGATGTTACATTTGCTACACATTCATGTGATCCCCATTCAATCGTTGTTTATTCTATAGATTTTTTCCTTTCTTCTCTGTCTCTTCAGGTCTTTCAAGCCAAATCCAGGGGATGAAGAGCAGAACCCATGCTACAGAGCACAGAGCTGATGGGTGTGCAGGGGCAGCTGCAGTCGACTCCTAAAAGCACCAGGATTTTTGCAATGGAGAAACTCTCTATCGAGAAGCAGAAGGTTCAAACTTCCTTTGTTTTCAGCTCCCTTTCCTTTTCTATAATATTTTACTTTATTTTTAGTGTCAGAAGAACATTTTCCCAGTTCTTAAACTGAGACTTTTAATATTCAGTAATCATTTCTTTCCGCCAGGAGAATGATCCCATGTAAAACACTGCATTTGCACGTCTGTTTTGCTAAGCCTCATTTAGTAGCTTGCAGATAAAAGTTTGAAAACTACAGTATTTATAGCAAAACTGTCACATTTTTTTTCAGTGAAAGGAATACAAAATAAGCAATACCATCACACTGCCCGTCTGCTTTGTCACATTTGCGATGAGAAAAATATCTCGCATCACTCCGGTGCTTCCGCAATCGCGTTCTCAGGCCGAGGCAATCAGCCTCTATGCGGGTGGCTGCCGCTGCGTCGCGCTGTTGGTGGCACAGCCGCTGGGACGGGCGGTGATGGAGATGTTGGTGTTGCAGGAAAGCTCGTACCCGCGGGCACGGGGAGGGCGGGCGGAGGGGGTGGATGGAGGCACCGACCCGCACAGCCCTCGCTGTGACTCCGCTAATTGAGGGCGAAACCTTCGCGCATCGCGGGGCTGCGCTCAGCTCGGCGGGAGGTGACCGCGCCCCGTCCGGAGTGGATGTAGGTGTGGATGTGGGTGTGTGCGAGTGTGCTGGGCCCGGTTCCTCATTTTCCTACGGAGGCGGAAGGATTTCGTGGTACAACGTGACCTACTGGCGCTGATGCAGCCTCCGCTCGCTCCGGAAAAGGCGGTGAGAAGGTGAGCAGTGCTGAGCAGAGCCGTGCTGCTGGGCTGCTCGCGGCATCGCGCATCGGAGCATCCAGGGATGGCCGTGGGAACGGCGCTGCTGTGGCTCGGCGCTGCGCTGCTGGCGTTGCCCGGAGCGTGCGGTGAGTTGGACCCGGGGGGAGCGGAGCCCACGCTGGGGAAACACCGCGAGGAGCGCTGCTGATCGCCTCCCCGTGCCTGCAGGTGATTGCCCGGAACCGCCGAGGTTCGTTTTTGCGGAGCCCCCCGGTCCTACCAACTCTTCGTACCCCGTTGGGGAGGTGCTGAAGTACCGCTGCCGTCCGGGATACATGAGAGATGTCAGCAAGTCCCATCACGTCACCTGCCTGCCCAACTCCACCTGGGCGTCAGACCCCGATTTCTGCATCGGTGAGTGCCCCCGTGTTGGGGCGGGGTCCCCAGAACCCCCAGGGTTTCACACAGCTGGGATGGATACCCCAACAGGGTCGCTGTTAATCCCTATTCTGGGCACTCAGAGTGCCCGAGCAGAGCTGCCCTTTGTGCTGAGGCATGTTAATCTCTTGGGCATGAACTCTGCACTTACTCACTTTACCATCTGCTGATGCGGTGTAAATGCTGAAATAGAATTCCAGAGAAGTAGGGTACAAAGGGGCAAAGTGAGATTCCTCATGCGCTGTCCCAACAATAACACTGAGGTTCCCTTCTGCCCCTTCTGCGCTGCTTTCCTCCCCTACAGACCATGATTTCACTTCTACATCAGTTTCAAGCCTCAGTAATCATACAAACCTTTATTGTGCTGGTTGCCCTTGGCTGTGTTTAACTTTCCATTCCTCAAAAGTTAAAGTTATTTTGTGTTTCCGAAAGTGCTGAGGAGGAAGGCTGGAAAAAGAGCTCCTGCTCTGCAGTGACTCTGAACAGCAGTGTGATGCTGTGTGGCATTGACTGCAATAAAAAACAACTAATGCTGAGCATTTGCCCTGCCAGGAAAGTTGTGTGAACTGCCAGAAATACCGAATGGTGACTTCCACTTCAGCACCAACCTCCAGTTTGGAGCTACGATAAATTTCACCTGCAGGACTGGGTAAGGCTGCAGTGGGTCGAGGATGGAGGCAGCAGTGAGGGGATGGGATGCTTTTAATGCCTGTGGGTTGAATCCCTGTCCCTTCAGGAGGTGCTGGGAGCAGCTGGCTGTGGGGTCTGTGCTTCTCCCGCTCCTGCTGTCAGAACAAGTGATGTTCTGGGTGTGAGAGTGAGCTCTTTCAAATTTCTTGCAGCTCGGTGTCTCAGCTAAGGGCCCTTGGGATGGGCTTTGGTGCACTGGGGATGCAGGGAATGGGAGCAGTGATGGGGCTGCTGGTGACACTTCTGAGCCCCCATTGCACAGCATGGGACTGGGGAAGCTCCTGTGTACCCCACTGCTGCCAGCATTGCATCCAATGCTGCCTTTCTTCAGAATCATAGGATGGCCTGGGTTGAAAAGGACCACAATGCTCATCCAATTCCAACCCCCTGCTGTGTGCAGGGTCACCAACCAGCAGCCCAGGCTGCCCAGAGCCACATCCAGCCTGCCCTTGAATGCCTGCAGGGATGGGGCATCCACAGCCTCCTTGGGCAACCTGTTCCAGTGCCTCACCACCCTCTGGGTGAAAAACTTCCTCCTAGTATCTAACCTAAACCTCCCCTGTCTCAGTTTAAAGGCATTCACCCTGTCCTATCACTATCCACCCTCATTAACAGCCATTCTTCTTCCTGTTTATACTCTCCTTTCAAATATTGGAAGGCCACACTGAGGTCTCCCCGAAGCCTTTAGGTACTGAGAGGTTGTATTTTATGGGTTGGATGGCTGTTGTTTCCCCTAAGGCTCAGCTTCTGCAGAGAGCACCATTAGAAACTGCACAACTTTGCATTTCACAAGTTTTTTCACATTTCTTTTTAAGAGATTCAATCTTTTTGCTCTCAGGTACCGTTTAGTTGGGAATCCGACTGCACAATGCATTCTGAATGGCAATGATGTTGATTGGGATCATGTTCCACACTGTGAAGGTAATTACATCTTAAGTGTTTTGTGTAGGTCCTCAAAGCTACTGCTGCACACCTCCCCTTCAGCCTCTCCTCTTAGACTACAGCTGCTTTTCTGCTGCTTTATCACTAAAAAAACACGTGTGGAATCTGAAGGAGTGTCAGCATTCAGGACACTGGGTTGAGATGATTGCCTTAGGGCTGCTTCTTCAGCTTTTCTTTGCCTTTTCTTGGCAGTCATTTGTTCGTTTGTAGAAGTAGGTAGACCTCAGTTTCATGTTTGATTGAAATGTTTTTGTGTTTTTCTACCTGTGCAGTTATTCCCTGTCAGCCACCCCCTGCCATTGAGAATGGACAGCAAAGTGGTGTGCACACAGAGTACATCTTTGGGGTAGCTGTAACCTACAGCTGCAAAAATGGGTTTTCTCTCATTGGAAACGCCACAATTCACTGTACATCAGATGAGAAATTCAATGGGATATGGAGCGGTCCAGCCCCAGAATGCAAAGGTAAATACCTTCTTCCTCTCCTTATTCTTTTGCTTTGTTTCTCATCGTTCTCTCGTATGAATTCTTTCCACTCAGCTGACAAACATGAGAATGATTTGAGTCTGAATGGATTCCACGGTGCAGTGGTTTCCCATAGTCAGAGACAAGGCGTGGTGCAGTGGGTTCCTCAGCACATGGAAAGCTGCTGTGATAACCTGAACTGCGTGAGTGTAGGCAGATGAAGTCCTCATTGTGGCCTTCCAATATTTGAAAGGAGAGTATAAACAGGAAGGAGAACGGCTGGTAATGAGGGTGGATAGTGATAGGGCAAGGGGAAATGGTTTTAAACTGAGACAGGGGAGGTTTAGGTTGGATATTAGGAGGAAGTTTTTCACCCAGAGGTTGGTAAGCCACTGGAACAGGTTGCCCAAGGAGGCTGTGGAGGCTGTTTCTTCACGGTTCTCTGCTCACTGAGTGCTTGTGTCAAGCCTATGTGCCACTTTCTATAGGAGCTTCTCACGCAGTGGCCCTGGTGATGCTTTTTCTTCTTGTAACAAGTGTTCTTATCGACTTCCCTTCACTTCCAGTGGTGAGATGTGAAAAGCCAGAAGTGGAAAATGGGAAGACTTTAAATAGCTTTGCCACTGAGTACACGTATGGAGAAAAAGTGAGCTTTGAGTGTGCTCCTGGGCACGCTTTGAGCGGCGCTCAGACGGTTACCTGTGATGCAGACAGTGCCTGGAAGCCACCTCTGCCAACCTGTGACCCACGTGAGTACAGACAGACTTTCTTCCTGAAGCAGTTGCCCTGAAGCTTGCATCAGTGTGCTGCAGATGGTGCAGCAGTGCATGGACCACGTTAGCTTTGGTAGCTAGCATTGCTTTTCTCTCCAATTGTCAGGATACTGTGGCCCTCCTCCCAGCATCCCTTCTGCTGAGTTAACAGGGGCTGCAAGCAGCAGCTCCTTGGCTGGAACGAAGCTGACATACCAGTGTCAGCCAGGTTTCACCACGGAGAATGGGAAGACCCTGGAAGTCACCTGTCTGCTGGACATGACCTGGTCTGCAGGCTCTGCGCTGTGCACACGTGGGTACCTCTGCTCTTCTGCTTGGCCAAGCAAGTGAGCTAAACCTGCTCGAGATGCTGGTTACTCTGGTTGTTGTCCAGCTCTGGGTTTGCAGACACACCTACAGCTTTCTTGCTTCAAGATGCATGAATCAACTTCTTTTTCTCTAGGTCAGCAATGCACTGCACCCACAATACAGAATGGGATTGTGAATGAGGACAGTTTCCTGTTTGGGGCAACTGTGACCTTCTCCTGCAACGCTGAGTGAGTTGGGGCAGAGAATCAGGGACTCCAATAGGCTGGTTCCCAATGCAAGATCCCAGTACAGCTGCATGTTGAGTGTAACTGGGCTGAGAGAGGCAATGCTCGCTGAGCACTGATGCTGGGAACTCTTCACATCAGCTATGTGCTGCCTGCACAGCACCACAGTGCCATTACTCACCCAAGTGGCCCAGATCCCATTCTGTAGCAGGAGCAGCTCCTGGCTGATTGCTTCCATCCGTGCCATGGGAGGAAGGGAGAACCATTGCTGGGTTGTTTTCTGGAGTGTGCTAAACCTCTCCTCTTTCTTTAGGTACGAATTAAAGGGATCATCTTCTGCCAAATGCGTGGCAGTGGGGAATGGAGTTGAATGGGACGTGGATCTCCCATCCTGTGAAAGTAAGGAAAAGGAAAAGCTGCACCAAGCCATGGGGATAACAGCTGGGACTGCTCTGGTGTAGCTGCGATGGGGCTGGGATTTCAGTACTAACTTGTACTGTGAGGCATTATGGGCCTCACAGAGATTAAGCTGAGGAGTGAAGGAAGAGCAAAAGTTACAGGAAAAGAAAAATTACTACCTGAGTTTTGAGTGGGGAGAGTTTTCTTTCTCTTACCAGGGACGTAAGAGCTCTATCCTCTTGATTTGCTGTAATGCTGAAGTCAGGTAATGCATGGTGTGATGGGAAGCTGGGAATGGCTGAAATGCTTCTGACTGTCACTCCCATGTCTTGCAGATGGGCTGAGACTCCAGAGCTGGGCTAAGGGCAGTAGCTGAGGTCTGGCACTTAGCAGGAGCACTCAAAGCATCCCCACTTGCTGCTAGATGCATGGCCCTGGCTGTATTTCCTTCTCTCCGTGCACACTGTGTACATTTTCAGTCTCTCTTGGTTCTGTTCCCCCTAGGAAAGCACTCTGGTATTCTCTGTGAACAGCCCCCCAGCATCGGCAATGGGGTTCACAATGGCACAGAGGTCACAGACTTCCCCCAGGGCTCCGTTGTGGTTTATTCCTGTAACGATGGCTTCATCCTGGCTGGAGGCAGCACCATTCAGTGCCTAGCAAAGGCTCAGGACCGTGGAGTCTGGAGCACACCCACTCCTGAGTGCAGAGGTGATTATCTCCTGGGGCTGTCTTGCTGTCTTCTGTCTGTTAAAGAAAAAAGAAAAAAAAACAGAAAAAACCACCCTATTTTTACTTTCTCTTTGAACCCTCAAAGAAACAGCTCAGCTCAGAATATGCCATCTGCACTTCCTGGAACAACCCCACTTAGAATCTCATGCTAACAGCATGGGACTGGGCTGCATCACAGCCTTGCAGGCTGATAGGAGTGTTATCTGCTTAAACACAGATGGATTCACCCCCCCTGGTGCAGGGCAGTGCAGGGTGATGCACAGCTCCCTTTCTACACGTGCGCTGGCTTTGAGCTGCTCAGTGCTGTATAATCAGATGTCCTGAAGGGCTCCCTTTGGCTTTGAGCTGCTCAGTGCTCTATAATCAGATGCCTTGAAGTGTTGCATGGTTGTGCAGAGTCACATGTTGGCTTTCTTCCTTTTCAGATGGAGCGAGCAGCATCATTGTTGGTAAGTGACACGTACTGCAGATCGTTGTGCTCCCATTCTTGGGTATCTTTACATTACTGGTTCTTTACGTGCTTTACTTAAACCTGAAACAGGCTGAAGAGTCTTCCATAGCAATCTGTTGTCATACTTATGTTTTTGTTGCTGTGAAAAAGAGGTGGGGAGGAAGGCGGAGGTGCTGCATGTTTGTGGCTGGGAGGGAAAGGGTGAGTGCACAGCCTCAAGTTCCTTTTGCCTTTGCAGGAATCCTGCCCCTCCTCCTGGCAATGTTGGTGATGAACTTCTAGATCAGGACATGGCTGCAGCAGGCAGATGGTTGGATGTGGTTGTGCCCTGCGTTGCCTTCTGGAGAAATCAACCCTGCAATACGACTGGCAGACCTGTGATGGATAAAGATGATGTTGAGCCCTAGTGCCCCCCCAGACAAGCAGTTGCACTTTTTAGCTGGCGTTGTGCTGGACACAACAACAGTGTGGCTGTGCCAGTGGCTCAGATGTGAGTGTGGTTATTGCTATGGGAAGTGGCAGTGATGCCAAAGGGTTTTGAACAGCACTGCTGTGGAGTCGAGGAAATTGGGTGCTTTGGGTACCTCTGTATTCTGATTTTCAGCCCCACTGAGGTAATGCTGAGCCTCGACCCCATTAGGGTTTACAGCTGTCTGAAGTGTCCTGATGTGTGACTGTCTCTGTATGAGTGGTATGTACTTGAAAAAGTAGTGTGAGCCAAATACTGTGACACTGAAAGCACTGACAATGTTTGCATAGAAGCACACTGTAGCATTTTCTTCAAGGCCAGTCTGGACAAAACAAGCCTTATAGATGGGTAATTTTACTGGAGAGAATATAAATATAAACGCCTTGTGACAAATAACTATTCTGACTCTTCCTGTTTGTGCTATAATTAGGTTCAAAAATGGTGTGAAAGTGTTTGCCACCTCCCTGTTTGGTATCAGTGCTTCTCTCCAACTGCCCAGAGCTGCTCTTCCTTCCTGCCTGCAGTGAGCTGCCACCCAGCTGCAGAAAGTCACTTGGTGTCAACATTTTCACTTTCTGCTCAAGCTGCCCAGCTGTGAGACCTCAGGGCTGCTGTGCTGGTGGGGGGGAAAGCAGGGCTGGGCTTCTTGCTCTGCTTGCCTGGGGTGCCCAGAGCGCCCACTGCACCCAAAAGGATTTGCAGCTGAGGTTGCACCTGAGGTTGGCACAGACAGACACCAAGCAGAGCCTTTATTTACTTGTCCCTGGGGAGCAGGGCGTAATACCTGCATCCTTCTGTGCACTCCGCTGCAAGGAGCAAGCTGACATCTTGGAGGTGAGGGCAGGAGCTGAAGGCCAGTTATATGGAATGCAATACTGACAGCTTTGAAATGTGTGCGTGGCTGATGCCTTCAGACCCTGTGACTCTGTTAAGCAAAACGTGGAGGCTCAGGGCTGTGCCTGAAGATTGCAGCTCTGGGTTCTTCACGATTTACAGCTGGAAAACTGAAGCATTCAGAATGCTTATCATGCACTTATTTGTTTCTGCATTTTTATCTGTGCCTTCCTGTTAACCGGAACATGCATCTGTTAAGAGGAAAAAGCACAGAGAGCCATTTCCTCGAGCACCTGGACTTTCTTGTAAATAGACTCTGAGGGTTCCCCTTACAGCAGAGCTCTGTCCTGCCCATCTGGCAAAGCAAAGCACTGTTTTCAGAAGTAAATCTTACAAACTAGAAGTTGGAGGTTGTTTTTCATTCATAATTACGCATTTCACATATGGACACGTATATAGAGAAATGCATGTGAAAATCTAGTTGTACATACATGAAAAGTGTATTGCTGTAAGCCATGTGGGTGACTGGAGGATCAGAACACAAATGGAAAGCCCGGTGCCTTACTGCTGTGTTCTGCTTTATTTCAACCTCAGCATCATTGTTTCTGTTGCACAGTCCAGAGTACATTTCCCAAACGATTGAACTTCATCTTGAAATGACCATGTGCATCATGAAAGCTGCCAATAAAAGCGATAAGGACAACCTGAGTGCTGTTTGCCCATTGCCTCCTCTGGGTTCAGAACATCCTCTGCCATGCAGCAGTGCTGGGGGGGTCCTGGAGCCCTGGTGGTCGGTCTCCAGCTGCAGAGCAGTGCCCTATTGCCCCCCAGGGACAGAATGTATCCAGCTGCCCCCAGCCCAGTGTGTGGGAGGAGGTGGAAGTGTTCTACTCTGCCCTTCCCTTCCCGTAGCCAGGCAGGCTTAGCTGGCAATGGCTGCTGAGGAAGAACCCTGGCCACTTCCCATAAGCAGGGATGCTCTGCAATGACTCCATCCGGCTGAAAGCCCCTCATGCCTTCTCTGTCACGGATACCCCGTGTCCCAAAGCAGGTCCCAAGGGCCCATCCTCCCTTGCATGAGCATGAGCAGAAGGTCACTGGGGCTGCACAGCCCAGGCTGGTGGCTGCCCACACCCTGTGCAGGAGCCCACAGGTTCCTGTCCCCCAGCCCTGGGAAACCCCACAGCTGTGATCCTTCCTCAAGCATGGGGAACCAGGACCCCCATATCTGTATCGCATCCCCTGAGATTTGCAGTCTGCACTGGGACCAGAGTATGGTGCTCACCTTCACCCTCAGCATCCTGGGCTGCTCCGCTCTGCTCCTGGCTGCTGTGAGTGGGCAGCAAGGTAAGCAGGATCTTCACCTTCCTTCCTCACCCCTCTTCTGCCTCCTCACAGCTTCTCTCCGTGCTTCTCTGGCTTTTCGCAGTGCAGGGCAGGCAGATCCCTGGGAACAGGGGGATGTGGGTGTGCCAGATCCTGAGCATCACAGAGGTGATGGCCTTCTGTTGCACCAAGGAATGGTCAGGTTGGATGTTGGGAGAAATTTCTTCTCCAAAAGAGTGGTGATGCAGTGGCACAAGCTGCCCAGGGAGGTGGTGGGGTCACCACCCCTGGGGTGCTCAGAACTGTGGGGATGTGGCACTGAGGGACACAGTCAGTGGGCATGGTGGGATGGGGTGGATCTCAGAGGTCTTTTCCAGCTTTAATGATTGGATGCTTCTGTGATTCTATAAAAAAAGCATCTGTCATTTTGGCCAAAGCCTTGCTCCTGTTCTCTGTGTGGGGCAGGAGAGATCTGGGGCTGGCTGGTGCCAGAGTAAAAGCTGTACAACAGCACCTTCCCTCAGCACTTGGCTGAGAGTGCTTGGGCCCTTCAGGTTAATTCTGGATGGGAACTTGGAGCTGAGCTCCTGCAGCATTGAGGAGGAATGTTTCGTGGGGCAGCAGCAGAGATGGGGCACAGAGTCTTTCATAGCTTCTTCTTGTTACAAGGGGCTCAACCTGCATGTTTGAGCTGCCAAAGTAAATCAGGGCATGAATGAAGTATTACTCAACAAGCCTGTTGCAATAATAGCTTGTGTTTGGGATTTGTCAAGTTGAAACTTGCTGTGATAAATAGAAGTGAATTGGGATGGGGCAGAGCAAACAGGCTGAGCTCTGCTGTTGATCTGACAGCCCGAGGTGCCCAGAAAGCACAGCCCAAACGCACAGAAGCTTGGCTTGCCTTTGCCATCAGAGCTGCTCCCCTGCTGATTTGGGTTTGCAGGCTGATTGGGCAGTGCTGGCACAGCATTGCAGATCTGAGGGCTGTGTGGCTGAACGTTGCTGTTGTCTCTTCTTTCCAGTCAGACAGCGCCGATGCCCAGTGCCACACATTGAGAATGGGAGGAGTGCTCCTTTTCACTACATCTATCGGCCCGGGGACTTAGTAAAACTCAGCTGCAACACAGGCTACACCTTGCAAGGCTCCCACACGAGTATCTGCCAAGCTGACTTCAGCTGGAACCCACCTTTACCGGCATGCAAAAAGGGCAAGTGTTCTGTGTGTGTGAGTGGGGCTGCTGCAGGGCAGAGCTCTCTCCATGCCCTCTCATATTGCTGAGAAAGCAAAGCCAGGATGTCCCTGATGTTCTTCCCAAAGTGGGAGGGAGGGAAGCAGCTCTGGAAAGACGGGCTTGGGATGGGGAATGGAATTGGCAGCAGCCAGGGCTCTTGGGGGATGCGGAGAAGCTAACGCTGGTGCTGTGCTGCTGTGCAACCAAAGGCTGCAGCCATGGGGGATTGCAGCATCTGCCTCCCTGGGGGCATTTCTGGACTTCTGCTTATGGCCACACATGGGATGTTTCCATCTTCCTCCTGGAATGGGAAGTAATCAGAGTTTCCCACTTGTGCTGCTTCTGTGCTCACGTGTGTGCTCTGCCCGAGCTGTGATGTGCTGTTTCCCTCTTGACAGAGGGGAAGGAGTGCCTCTGTTATGAGTGATTTCCTCTGGATGCAATGTGTCTGTAATCTCGTGCTGTTCTAATTTACCAAAACGCAGACTGAGCAGCAGTCAGGCTATCATCCTGACCACCAATCCTGTGTACAAAATAGTGACTCCCAGTGCAATTTCATCTCCCCCTGCAGAGGTGATGTGTCCTCAGCCACCGAACATCGCCAATGGGCTGCACAGCGGCCAATCCATGAACAAATTTCTCCCAGGAGCAATTGTGTACTACAGCTGTAAGGATAACTTTGAGCTGGTGGGGAACGTCTCCATCAGCTGCTCAGCAGTCGGGCACTGGAACCGGCCCCTGCCCCGCTGCAAAGGTGCGTGGAGGCAGCCCTGTGGGCACTGCTGCTCTGTACCTGCAGGATGTGGTCCTGCACTGACAGCCACGTCTGTGTTCCCACAGCCATCGGCTGCCAGAGACCCACGGTGCACAACGGGAAGGTGCAGGCACTGAAGGACACCTTCGAGGCTGGGGAAATGCTGCAGTTTGACTGTGATGCTGGGTATGCTGCAGAGGGCAGCCATCAGGCTTGGTGCCAGCCTGGGGGGAGCTGGGACCCACCAGTGCTCAGCTGTGAGCGGGGTGAGTGCACTGGAGGACCCTGCAGGGTTGCTATACGTCTCCATGTCCATCACAGCCACTCATCCCCCTCATGTTCCTCTCTCATTCCATCTCCTCCCTGCAGTTCGTCCTTGCCCCAGGCCTCCAAAGATCAGCAATGGAGATCATGATGGCCATGGCAAAGCAGAGTTCACCATGGGGACGTACGTGACGTACACTTGCAATCGCGGCTACTACTTGGCTGGGAACGTTGAACGTGTGTATTGCAAAGCATCGGGGAAATGGAGCCAGCCCAGCCCACACTGTGAAGGTACACGTGTGTCCTGTCACCCTGTCTGCAAACTGTCACCTCACTCTGTGGCCAGCACAGCGTGGCACTGGCATGACGCAGCTCCTGACCATGGCTCTGAGCCCTTCAGCCCTTCTCCTGAAATTAAGTATTCAGTTTTATAACATGCAGAGAATGAGCTTATACCCTGAGCTAAGTGTTTCTGAAGCTACAGGTGCTGTAATTCTAGCACTGGGTTGAGATCCTCTTCTGTCCCAGCAGCACGGCTCCATCCTGCCCAGTGCTGGGCAGTGCAGCTGGGGCTCAGCCATGTGCAGTGCTCCAGGCACAGCCCAGCAGGGACCGCTGCTTCCTCCACTTAGAGCAGAGTTTTCTGTACCAATTCCCTAAGAAATTAATGATATGACAAAGCACTTTAGTGCCAGTGTTTCTGAGTGAAAATAGATCTTAAACTCTGAATATTTCTATGAAAATACAAAGCTAAAAATAGCCATTCGTAGTGCCAACATGAGCCCAAGTCATTTGCAGTCTTCATTTCTGGACTAAGCCCTGTGTTACTGAACCCAGTGCCTGGCCATGATGCTGAGAGCCACCGGGCCAGATTGAGATAACACACTGGGTCTGCAGAGGCAGCTTCAGGATGAGGTTGGTTGGGTTTCATTAAATCAGTTAACATTTCTTTGTCCTGAAAGGAAAGCCTGGGCAGCTGCAGCAGGCAGAAGGGACACAGAGATGTGCAGGACATGGGGTACCAGCCCTCTGCCCCACCTTCACCTCTTCCATGCTGATTGCTGAGCTGCTTTGAGCTGCACATCCCCACAGCATCGCTTGTCCCACATCCCTCATGGTTTTTCCAATTCCCCTGCAGAAGTGACGTGTCCTCAGCCACCGAACATCGCCAATGGGCTGCACAGCAGCCGTTCCTCTACCAGGTTCCCGCATGGCACCGTTGTGTACTATAGCTGCAAGGATGGCTTTGAACTGGTGGGGAACGTCTCCATCAGCTGCTCAGAAGTTGGGCACTGGAACCGGCCCCTGCCTCGCTGCCAAGGTGGGTGGAGGCAGCCCTGTGGGCACTGCTGCTCTGTACCTGCAGGATGTGGTCCTGCACTGACAGCCATGTCTGTGTTCCCACAGCCATCGGCTGCCAGAGTCCCACAGTGCGCAATGGGAAGGTGCAGGCACCGAAAAACACCTATGAGGCTGGGGAAATGCTGCGGTTTGACTGTGATGCTGGGTATGCTGCAGAGGGCAGCCATCGGGCTCGGTGCCAGCCTGGGGGGAGCTGGGACCCACCAGTGCTCAGCTGTGAGCAGGGTGAGTGTGTGCAGGACAGAAGAGGACCCTGCAGGGCTGCCACCCATCCCAGTGCCCATCACAGCCACCCGTTCCTCTGCACGCTCCTCTCCCATCTCCCTGTCTCCTCCCTGCAGTTCGTCCTTGCCCCATGCCTCCAAAAATCAGAAATGGAGATCACAACCGGCACAGTGAAGGCTTTTTTACCACGGGAATGTCTGTGTCATACACCTGTGATCCCAGCTTCTACCTGGTTGGGAATGCACACGTGGTTTGCAGAGCATCAGGGACCTGGAGCCAGCCCAGCCCACGCTGTGAAGGTGCGTCTGTGCTCACTGTGGGCAGACTCCCCCCCCTCCTGCCCCTAGGTCCTAGAATTAATCCCATGTGAAGTGCTGCATGGTGGAAATTAATTTCAAACCCTTCTGTTATCAAAGCAAGGCTAGGAATGTTTGGATAACGACATGTAGATTTTGCTGTTGCACTATTAGCAGCCCGTGGGTTTGGAGTTTTTATTTGCTTATTTTTACTCCTTTTGCTCATCATTTCTGCACATCTTCCCTTCCAGCAACCATCTGCTTAAAGCCAGATATACAGGATGGGTGGGTAGTTGATGATCATGGACTCATCTATGCACCGGGGCAAATGGTGACGTTTCAGTGCCAGGAAGGCTACAGCTTGCGGGGCAGTGCCCAAACCCTGTGCCAGGATAACGGCAGCTGGGACCCCCCAGTTCCCCTCTGTGATCCACTCCAGAGCTCCTTGCTGCCCAGAAGGTCTGAGAGTTCAGGTAATGATGCTGGAGCTGCCTGGGGTGGGTGGCTGCTTGCTGCCTTAGCCCAGCTGTTAAATAATGTGTTAAATCCTGTAAGAAAGCAGAAGATTTAGTTATCTGTTGGGAACAGGAGCCTGAAATCTGGAATCCTTTGGAAAAAAAAAAGATGATTCTATGGTTCTGTGTTGTGTTTGCTTAGTAGTGTCTACATCAGGCCAGATAACCAAATGTTCAAGGCAAAACAAACACCCTTTCTGGTAATGGTGTTCTCTCTCTGCTTTCACCCAGTGCTCTGTCCTGCCTAACTCTGCCTGTTTTCTCTTGGTAGGTGGCTGTGGGGTTCCCACCAGGCTGACCTTTGCTGAGCTCAATGAGGAGCACAGAAATGAGATTGATTTCTCTGTTGGAAAGACAGTGGGATACACTTGTCAGCCCGGATTTGCTAAGCACCCAGGAATGTCACCCACTATTACATGCCTGCAGAGCGGAGTGTGGTCAGAAGCACTCGAGTTCTGTAAAAGTGAATAGCTCCTTGATTTGGTGTTGTTGTTCCAGAAAGGAATAGGTGCTGGGTTCTGTCCATGCTGCAAAAACCTGAACGTGATTCTGGTGTTCCAATCCTATGTGACTAGTAAAGCCATGTAAACTTATGTTATTTGAAACCCATTTTGGGGGTAATTGGAAATGTGGGTGGATTACTGGAATAGCTTTTGCATCTGTTGGGCTGTGCTATAGGGAGAAGCCTACAGGGAGATTCTCTCTCCTCCAGGGAAACAATGCAATCACCCCGGGGAACCCGAGAATGGCCGGATTACAGCCCTGGCAGACCTCTTCTTTGGGTCAACAGTGGTCTACAGCTGTGAAGAAGGGTAAGTCCAGAGTTCAGGTCTGCTCCTTAAAAGGTCAAGGCAAGATGTGTTAGGTAAGTCTCCCTCTTTTCCTCCTTTTAATCCATTCATTGATTTTATAAAGAAGCCCAGGTGTAGAGCTCTGTATGTATATAAGCACATAGGGTTTTCCCAATCTTTTGCTGTGAAAAAGGTAGACAGGTGCTGAGCTCAGAGGGGAATTTCTCCCACAGTGCCAGGGCTCCACTTCCAGCGGTGCTGAATCCACTGCAGGGGGTGATTGGAGTGAATGTGAGCCCTTCTACCTCCAGGTACAGGCTGATTGGGAAGTCCAGCCGGAGATGTGAGATCTATGGGGGACGCGTTGCTTGGTCCGGTGACATTCCCACCTGCCAGCGTGAGTAGCTCCCAGCTCGGTGTCTGCATGGTGCTGGCATTTGTGTCCCAGCAGCAGCTCCCAAATCTCTCAGTCAGAGCTATCCCTGCTCTGCGGGCATGGAAATATCAGAAGGGTTTGATTTCATAAAGAAATATTCTGGGAAGAAGTACAAAATCTCAGAGAGAAATGGATTATTGAAAGTGAGGAGTCACGCGCAGTGATTTCTCAGCAGTGCTTGCATAGATTCTGCTCAGAAGACTTGAGGTTGTTGGGTGGTTATTTTATTTCTTGAACACTAGAAAGGATAAAGCATATAGAAGCTTCCTCCATAAGAGGAATTGCAGTCGTTCCACCTGTAGGCCAAGTGTGTATGCCAAGTGTGTGGGATTTTGAGTACTTCAGTGCTGTGGTTGAATGCAGAAGGTTCGTTGTGCCCCATTGCAGGTATCCCCTGTGAGCCCCCCCCCAGCATTCCCCATGGGAAGCACACGGGGCGGCTGCTGGATGAATTCCACTACGGCACCTCGGTCACCTACAGCTGTGAGCCCGGATACCCAATGCATGGGAATGCTTCCATCTTCTGCACCACCCAAGATGGGAAAAACGGGGTGTGGAGTGGGCCCCCCCCACTGTGTGGAGGTAGGGCTCAGAGGGAGCAGGTGGGAGTGCTTGGGTGCAGCAGCCCAACTGTTTTCTGTTTGGAAAGGCGAGGAGATCTCAAGATGGTCACATCTGTTGTCTGGGTGCCTGCTGAGGCAGAGTTTGCTGCTTTGGGGTGGGAATTGTTGTTTTGGGGTGGGATTTATTGCTTTGGTGCAGGATTTGCCGCTTTGCTTTGGGCAAGAATTGCTGCTTTGGGGCAGGTGCAGGCAGGATGCTGTAGAAGCATGTGCCATCTGCAGCACTCCCAGCCTCACCTTCCAGCTGGGGTCTCCCCTGCACTGTAAGGCAGTGCATCATCAATAGGAAAATTACCTTCAGGCTTGCACCTTGAAAATAATCACAGATGCAAGTGCTTTGCACAGCTTTGCCCACTCTGAGAACAGCTCTTCCCTTCCAGAAGCAGGATGCTCTGCCCCGCAGATCCAGAATGGGAGGATAGTGCCAACTCCTCGGAGCACCTACGCACACAAGGACACTGTCACCTTTGAGTGCGAGCCAGGCTACATCATCCGTGGCCCCAGAGTGGTGCAGTGCCAGCAGAACAACACTTGGCAGCCCCCGGTGCCCATCTGCGAGCAGGGCAAGTGGCCAGCCAGCACTGCAGGTGCCACCCTGCCCCAGTGTCCCCTGATCCTTTGATAAGTTGTTGGCTTGTGTCCCCAACAGCTGGCTGCAGGGCACCCCCCAGGCTGGCGTTTGCTGAGCTGAAGGAGCCCTACAGGAACCAGACTGCCTTCCCTGTGGGTGGGACCGTGGAGTACGTGTGCCAGCCCGGCTATGCCCGGCATGTGGGGATGTCACCAACCATCACGTGCCTCAGGAATCAGAGCTGGTCTGTGGCACTGGAGTTCTGCAAAAGTACGTCCTGCATATGCTGTTGGGAAATTCATACTTCTTGAGTGCAAAGCCTTCTGGCTTTTTGGGTTTATTTGTTTGGGGCAGCATGCTGTCAGCATCCCCAGGGGATTTGCTGCACAATGCTGATGTGCAGTGCTAACAGCAGCTGTGTTCTCTCGCAGGGAAGCAATGTGCAAACCCTGACGACCCACAGAATGGAAGAGCCGTGGTCCTGACTGACCTCCTCCTTGGTTCCAAAGTGAATTACACGTGTGACAAGGGGTGAGTTTGTGGCCAGCTGAGCTCAGCTGTCATTTGAGAGTAACGCAGAAATTAAGTGGCAAAATGGCTTTATGTGGAGGAACCTCATAAAGTCTGAAGTCTTGGCTGCTATTAATAATGCTTGTGAAGAAGTCTGGAGTCTCTTCATGTAATTACCAGTGTTTCTGTGTGCTGCAGATACAAGCTGAACGGGCGTTCGCAGAGGACATGCGAGGTCTCTGGCACACGCGTTGCATGGAGCGGGGATGCTCCCACCTGCCGTCGTAAGTGGGATGGGAGGAGGCCCTTGGAGATGGCTTCCTTGGGGTGTAGAGGAAGGGGAGAATCTTTCAAGGCAAAGGTGCCATTGCAAAAGATCTCTTGGGTCACTCTATCTGTGAAATATTTCATGTTTCTTATTTCTTATGCTTTGTTTTGTTTTGGATATTTTTGAAATTGTTTTCAAAGGCCTTTTATCTTGGTCCAAACTGGGAACACTGTTCATGTTTTTAAACTTCCTCTTCCTGTAGCAAGAATTCCTCACTGCTCGTGCGTAGGAATGTTTGATCAAGTTCTCTCTGCATGAGTCACAGTGATATGGAGAGGGCAGTAAGAACTGTGCTCCTACCTTTAGCAGGATAGCAAGGAAATGACCAACCCAAGGGTACAAGTTTGCCTTCCCACACATCTCAGGATAATTTGGGTCATTTTACTCAAAGAGCTTAATTGCTGGGATGAGTTTACCTTCATCCTTTCCTTCCTGGAAGTGAAGGGTCTCAGACCCCAGTACTGCAGCAATAGTGCTAAAACCTCACCTTGTGTATTTCCAGGTATTGTCTGTGACCCACCCCCAGACATCCCACATGGGACACACAATGGGGGATCAATGGATGCCTTCCCCTATGCGGCCGTGGTCACCTACACGTGTGAGCCAGGCCGTGTTTTGGCTGGGACAGCCTCCATCTTCTGCACCACTGTGGATGAGGAGCACGGTGCATGGAGCGGGCCGCCACCACTCTGTGAAGGTGAGTGTTGCAACTATGGTGGGAGGCAGATATTTATTAATGGGGTTCATTGTCTTTCTCCTTTGGTTTCTGAAGGTTATTATTCTTTTCCATATTTAATAATATTCTCTCCCTCCCTTCTGCAGATGTGCAGTGTCCTCCCCCTCCAAGCATTGCCAATGGGAAGCACAGCAGCCAGCCCTCAGACACGTTCCTGCCTGGTGTGGCTGTGCAGTACACCTGTAAGGATGGCTATTTGCTCATTGGGAATGCATCCATCACCTGCACTGCTGCAGGAACCTGGAGCCAGCCCCGGCCACGCTGTGAAGGTATGTCTATGTCAGCTGCTTGGCGCCTGGGTCATCTCTTTCCTCTTGGCTCTGGGTTTAACCATCACTCACCAAAACCCCACAGAGGAACAGCCAAGAGGTCCCAATATGGAGAGCTTCTCGAGCACAACTGGATAATGAGATTTCAGATTTTGGGGGGCAAGAATATGAATCAATATTGTTGACACACTCACGGTGTTGATGGCCAGGCTTGATTGCAGTTACCACCCTGGCTGGGCTCTGTGTCCCAAATATGCCTCGTAATCTTCATTTCCAGCAACAGGCTGCAGAAGACCTGAGATTGAGAATGGAAGAGTGATTGGGCCAGAGTCCGTCTATATGCCTGAGGCCATCGCTGTCTTTGAATGCAATTTTGGTTACGCCTTAAAGGGCTCTCAGGAGTCTCAGTGCCAATTTGGGGGCACATGGGATCCTCCTGTTCCCACGTGTGAAAAGAGTAAGTGTTAGTGAGGCGGTGGGTGGTGGGTGACTTTTGAATCCATCCCAGCAGGTGCAACCACCTCACATTGGAGGTAAAGGGACCCTAAGGTTCCCCTTAGGTAGCAGGACAGAAATGGAGGCAGGAGATGGGTGTGGGCTGGGTGGAATCATATCCAAACTTTGGCACCTTTAGATGCTTGGGAACAGCTAATGGGGAAGAAAGAAATAGCAGTGCAGCCTCATTACACAGGGTGTAGATCTGGGGTGTAGACCTTCACTACGTTTGATTTTTTCCCCTTCCTGTAGTGCTGCAGTGTCCTTCCCCTCCAAATATCACACACGGTCAGTACAGCAGTGAGGATGTGAAAGTGTTTGTTCCTGGAACCTCTGTGAGGTACAAATGTGATCCAGGGTACGTCCTCACGGGGAAAACAGCAGTGACTTGTTTGACATCTGGAGTGTGGAGCATCCCTTACCCACGGTGTGAAGGTGAGGGGAAAGGCTCTGGCCCATGGGCTGCATGCACAGGGGAGCATGGGGGAATGGGTGGGCAGGGATTTAAAGGATTTCAAGTCCATGCACTCCTTTTCGTGTGGATGCTCCCTGAATTTTGACCTCAAAAACACAGGGGGAAGCCTGGCTCTGGCAGCCACTTCCCCAGCTCAGGCTTTGCTGCTCCTTGCTTCCAGTGGTCACCTGCATCAGTCCTAGCATTAAGCATGGAGAAGTTGCTGAAGGGCAGAAAGTTGTCTACCGGCCCGGGACCATCATCACCATCCGGTGCCACCAGGGCTACATGTTGCGGGGCAGCCAGGAGCCCAGGTGCCATTCTGATGGCTACTGGGTCCCCTCTATCCCCAGCTGCGAGCCAGGTGAGCATGGGCACAGCTGCTGCTGGCTCTGTGGGAAGACAGAAACCGGACAGCCCTGTATGGGGACAAGGACACACAGGGATCGGTTGCTTTTTTGCATTATGCAAAATCACTCCAACTTCATTCTCTCCTCACACCCTGCTAGCGCTGCCTTGCCCTCCACCACCCACCATTGCCCATGGCATACATGATGCCGAGCTCGGGGACAACTTCACCAGTGGAATGTCCGTGAACTACAGCTGCCAGCCCGGCTTCTCCCTGCTTGGGGACCCCTCTGTCCAGTGCCTGGAAGGCAACTGGAGCCTCCCGTACCCACGCTGTGCAGGTGAGGGGACAGTACAGTACAGCATGGCATGGCATGCAGCCCTCAAACTATGCTGTGGAAATTTGGGGGGTGAAATTCAATTCCAGCACAATGCTCTCTTGTATCTGAGCCTGCAGATTCCTGCACTCTAAGGCCAACAGCCAATCCCAAAGGATGTGTAGAGGAGTGTGGATGTATAAAACTGGCTAAATTAAGGGTTTTTTAAGACCATATAAATATCATGCATGCATCCTTCCACGCTAAGTTATTCATGCAGATAAATGTCAGAACACAGGATGAAAGAGATGCTACCATCGCCAGGTTTTGTAGTAGAATCTACCAGTGCTCTTGCTTCTCAGCTGCGTTTCACTACCAGCCTAATTTCTCATGTGCTTTTTTTTTTTTCTGCAGTTGGATGTGGGACACCAAGAGTGTTACAGTTCGCAGAGCTAAACAAGGAATACAAGAATTGGACTGAGTTTCCAGTCGGGACCACAGTGAAATACAGCTGCCTGCCAGGTTACTCCAGACATTCACAGATACCACCCACTATTACGTGCCTTGAAAATCAGACGTGGTCTGAACCTAAGAGGTTTTGCAAACGTAAGTTTTACAGATGCTTCTGTGTCATTTAAATCACAGCGTGACTGTAGCTTGGTGGATTTTTTTGGTTCTCTACCCTGGGGATTTGGTCAGATCCCTAGAATTCCAATGCCACTTCTCCTTTCATGCTGAGTTAAGCTGAAAAACACCTCTTGTTCTGTCCAGGGAGAAGGTGTGATCATCCAGGAGAACTAGAAAATGGCAGAGTTATTGTTACAACAGATCTCCTCTTTGGATCAACTGTGAATTACACTTGTGATGAAGGGTGAGTCCTGGTCAAACTGTGTTGCTGTGCCCACTGAGGAGACCCAGGGCCAAGTGAGCTCAGGTCCATACCTTCAAAATGGTTAAAATGGCAGTACGTGGTGGCAAGTAGGGTGGTAATTGGTGGCTGTGGGAGATGCAACCTCCAAAGAGAGTCCCACAGTAACAGGAGTGCTGTTGTTTAACCCCAGGTACAGGCTAGTTGGAGCTTCTCAGCGACACTGCGTGATTTCAGGCTCTGGGATGCGAGTGACATGGACTGGGGTCATTCCCGTCTGCCAGAGTAAGTGCAAATGGTGGGAGCTGAGCACTGCACAAAGAGATTCAGAGCAGTGCTTTACTTGGGACAGCATAACCTCAGGGATGGGTTCACCCTCATCCATCCCTTCCTGGAAGTGAGTGGCCCTGCAGTCCCCAGCACTGCAGCAGCAATGATACTAAAACCCCACATGTGCATCCCACACAGGTATCGTTTGTGATCCACCTCCTGACATCCCGCATGGAACACACAGTGGGCACTTGATGAATGCCTTTCCCTATGCAGCTGTGGTCACATACACGTGTGAGCCTGGCCATGTGCTGGTTGGGACAGCCTCCATCTTCTGCACCATGGTGGATGGGGAGCGTGGTGCCTGGAGCGGACCAGCACCACGCTGTGGAGGTACAGCCTCATGGAGTCATAGAATGGCTTGGGTTGGAAAGGACCTCAAAGATCATCTAGTTCCAAACCCTCTGTTATGAGCAGGGTTGGAATCCTGCATGGAGTCTTTCATTTTTCCATATTCTTTTTTTTTTTGTATGGATGGATGGCTTTGCCCTCTTCCCCCAGATGTGCAGTGCTCTCAGCCCCCAGGCATTGCCAATGGGAGGCACAGAGGCGAAGGCATGGCAGTGTTTGTCTGTTGTCCATGTCTGTGATCTTGGCTATGTGCTCATTGGAGCAGTGCTGCTGAATTGTACTGTTGCTGGAGTGTGGAGTGACCCTGCCCCTCAGTATGAAGGTGTCTTTGTCACTTGTGGATATGCCATGGACACAAAGGGATTATGGGAGATGTTGAATTTGAATTTGCAGAGATTGAGTTCTCTAGTAGTAATTGGGAATTGTAAACAGAAAAAAAAAAAAAAAAAATTCCTTCCCTGCAGGGCAGCTTTGTCCTTCCCCACCAGTGATTGACCATGGCCAGCATGATGGCATGGACGTGGAGTTTATCCCTGGAATGTCTGTAAATTACAGCTGTGACCCTGGCTATTCTCTTACTGGAACAGCAGCTCTGTACTGTACTGACAATGCAAGCTGGAGCAGCCCTCAGCCCCGCTGTGAAGGTGAGCTGTCCGTGCCATCATGCCATGAAAGGGAGGACACTGTGGTGTCTCAGCAAGAACCAAGGGTAGAGGGCTTCAGCAGCCTTTGTCAGGAAAAGAGCAAATGGGTCAGGATTTAAATCTCCAGCCCCCTTCATTTCCTGCATAGCTGCTACTGGAGCCAGCAAACTGCCACTGCACAGAGCCTGGGCTGCACATCAGCTTGTTTCCAGCACACACTGGATGCTGTAATCACTTTGCAAGCATCCTTCCTGCACATTATCCCATTTGTGCTCTTTTTCAGACTTTTTCCTTGTCTTTTTAGTGTTACAGTGTCCTTCGCCTCCAAATATTGATGGAGGCAATCATGACAGCCAGGATGTGGAAGTTTTCCTTCCTGGGATGGCTGTAAACTACAGCTGTGATCCTGGCTACAGCCTGCTGGGGGAGGCATCCATTTACTGCACCGAGTCTGGAAACTGGAGCCTGCCCGCTCCTCAGTGTGAAGGTACTGTGGAGGGGCAACAGCTGAAGCTAGGCTGCTTGGGAACCTCTGGACACGCTAATGGACATGATCTCTCTGTGTTCTCCCTCCCGGCAGGTAGCTGTGGTGTTCCTCCAATACTTAGCTATGCTGAGCTGGCCAAGGAGCACCAGAACATGACAGCCTTTCCCGTTGGGAGCACAGTGCGCTACGCCTGCCGCCCAGGATTCATGAGACACCCCACAGTGCTGCCAGTTCTGACGTGCCTCAAAAACCACACGTGGTCTGATGTGCGAGCGTTCTGCAAAAGTGAATAGCTCCATCCGTTTGGTGTTGGTTTTGGAAATGCACCTAAATTTAAACACATGGGTTTCTAAAGAAATTCTTTGGTACAAATATGATTCTTACATGGCTTCACTAGTCACATAGTTTGGACAGCTGTTGGTCTTCTATAAAAATTTTTGCTGGTGTTTGCATGTGGACAGATCCTTAAGATGTTTTCTCACAGCACATTGTAAAACTGCGGGAGAAGAGTTTAAACTTAGCCTTGTTCTTTCACAGGGAAAGAATGTAATTATCCTGAAGCACCACAGAATGGCAGAGTTGTTGTTCTGACAGATCTCCTGTTCAGGGCCATCGTGAACTACACATGTGAAGAAGGGTGAGTCCCACGCTGCCTCTGCTGATCCATTTACTGAGCTTGTGTTGGGCAATTTAAAGTGAGAGGGCACAGCACACTGCTCAGCTCATGCCAGTAAGCCAGGATTGGTACTTTTGGCCCAGGAAGAAGGAACCTGTTTCTTTTCATCCCCACATATCCCACCAAGAGAATTATCCAGAAGCAAGAGAGTGTTCTGGAAACGCTGGGGTAGTGCAAAGCCCAGGGTGCACGCCTTTGTATCAGCTGCTATTCCTTCTGTGTAACTCCAGGTACCGGCTGGTTGGACAGTCCCTCCGGCGCTGTGAGCTCTCTGGAGCAGATATGGCATGGAGTGGTGATCCTCCCACTTGTCAGAGTAAGTAGGTCGCAACTAAATCTGGTCTAGAATTGCCATATTAAGTCCTGAAAATCAAAAAGTGGCATTTCCTTAAAATAAATAGAGCCTTGGCGAATAAGACTTCCTAAGAGTATTCCTCTGAGGTTGTTTTGTTTTGCATGCTTGTTTGGTTTCTTCTACAAATTTTCCAGTTGCCAGCTTTTCATCTTTCAGAGTTATGTGGTAGGAGGAGTTGTCAGATGCCTGCAGGGATTTGTTCCTTTTGTTTCACAACCACAATAGATGAAGGAAGAAATGTGTCTTGCATGAGAGTGGGATACTGAGCAGAGCTAGGTTGAGATCTTCCACTGCACTGTTATCCAAGCCACAAGACTCTCTTGCAGGGGTTGGGCATGGCGATTAAATGTGGTCGTTCCTTCAGATGGAATTGCCTTGGAAAGCATGAGCTTGGTGCAGTAAAACAGTTGTGAGAATGCTTAACAGAATTTGATTTCTACAACACTTAACATGTTTACTTGGAATGTATATGCATTGTTTTGTTTATAGACACAAAATCATGCTTACATATGAAAAACTGTGATAATCCCCTGGTACATGAAGACACTAAAAAGCCCTTCACTCTTGAAATTATTCTTCTGCAAGTCACTGAGTTTTACCTGCACAACTCTGCTGAGAGTCTGCCCTGGAGCAGTGGCCAGGATGGGCTTTATCTGGGCATCAGCTACAGCATGTGCCTGCTGCCTCTTTAAGATGATGAATTTCTTTTCCAGAGGTGGTGTGTCCAGTGCCACAAATCCAGAATGGGAGAGTATCCATTCCCAAACAGCGCTACAGATACAAGGACACTGTTAGCTTTCAGTGCCATGAAGGGTTCATGCTGAAAGGCCATTCCACAGCCCAGTGCAAAGCTGACAGAACATGGGATCCTCCCGTGCCCGTCTGTGAGCAGGGTGAGTGTCACTGACTTGGTGACATTGCAGGATACTCCTGGTTGCTGCTGCCTGCTCTCTGAAGCCACATCTGGCCTTCCCTTTCCTGGTTGCTCTGACTGCTGTAAGGAGAAAGCAGAAGGTGTTCCCTTCACCTATGACTCTTTCCTCACACAGGCGCTAAGCCAGGTTGAGGGCAGCGCAGTAAGTGGGATTTGTGCTTTTCTTCCCTGCTTGTTGCAGTCTGTAGTCCACAAGCTCTTCCATTTCTGATAGATAGAAACTCGGTAGCTGTATGGCAGGATGTTGACTATAAGAGAAGAGGGACCTATTTGCTGGAAATATAAAGGAAGGATGATAGGAAATGAAGGTAAATTTGTGTATTGCGTGCGTTCACCAAATGTGTATTTTCAACTCTTAATGCTGCATCTAGATGCAATTACCATCCTGCTGCTGCAACTAGTCCAGGTAGGTGACACATGGAAGGCAAGACTTAACTGCTCCTCTCACCCGGTCCTGTTTTTTGAGGGGAAGAGGAGTAATTATCCATTTTACCCCTTTCTTACACAATTGTTTTTTCATAAGTTAGCTTCACCTTCTTACCTTTCTCCTCTCCTCTTTCAGTGGGAAAATGTCTATCTCCTCCAAGCATTATCAATGGGGAACACAGTAGTTTCTCAGACACTTTTGGCGTAGGTGCAATCGTGCACTACCGCTGCAAACCTGGCTTCTTCCTCATTGGCAATCAGTCCATCCGCTGCACACCGCATGGAGTCTGGAGCCATCCTCTACCTCGGTGTGAGGGTACGTTCACACTCTTGTCATTGATTCTCATCTTTCTAAACGTGTTAAGTATGTGGTGATATGTGGCTAAAGAGTTGGCGAAACAAGCTGTTTCTTGAGCAAAATCCACCTAAGGAAAAAATGTGACCAAATGCCCTTATCCATCCTGCACAAGATTTGCAGTGTAAGTAATTCTTTCTGCCCTCAATTCTGCAGCTGGCTGTGTGAGCCCAGCAGTTGGGCATGGAAAAGCTATTGGATTAGAATCTCTTTACATGCCTGGAGACGTCATCACCATTGAATGCAACACTGATAATATCTCAAAAGTCCTCCACAAGTCCCAGTGCCGATCTGGGGGCACATGGTTTCCTCCACTCCCTGCCTGTGACCGAGGTAAGTGCGTGTCACCCATCCTTAGCGCCTGTCCCTTCTGACCTTGCACTACTTGTAGCACATGGCAGGATGTTTAGGGGGCAAGAGGAATCCTAGTTTTTAAACCTGAAGATCCATCTACCCTATTTTTTCCCATTCTTATCACTGCAGTATAACTGGTGCCTCAAAATGAACTTAAAACTAAGCTCAGCCTGGTTTTGTCAGATGTAAGGGACCTGTATGGATACTGCTGTAAAACGGTCTTACAAATGTGCAGTTCTCACTATATACACCAGCTAATCACTCTTCTTATCCAGTGCATCAGGGAAGATGATGCTGGGCAGCAGCGCTCCTTTGTGTAAGAAGAAATTGGTGTGACACCAAGTCAGATGCTACAGGGTGAAGTGGGTGCATGAGGTTGGGCAGTGGGCTCTGTGCATTAGTGTCAGTGGCGTGGAGGTGCCATGCACAGGTGCTTGGAGGTTCTCCTCTTGCCTCCAAGAGTGCTTTTTAATCTGTACTTCTCTCTCCTTAGTGCTGCACTGTTCCAAGCCCCCAGATATCCTCCACGGGGGCCACAGTGGCCTGGGAAAAGCAGTTTTCACTCCTGGAACATCTGTAAACTACAGCTGTGAGACTGGCTTCTCCCTTGTTGGGATGGCATCCATTTACTGTACAGAGTCTGGAGCCTGGAGCCATCCTTTTCCAGTCTGCCAAGGTGCGTTTTTGTTGCAGAGAGCTAAGAAGAAAGTTTAATACATAACGTGCCTGAGGGAAAGATTTATATAAGGACTAAATCTATCTTTACTACTAAATAAGTGATAAGAACAAGATAAAGTTTATCCATGTTCACAAAACCTGGTGGAGTTAAAGAGCTACAGAATTGATTGTTGAAACTAGATGAAGAAATGGAAAGAGCAAGGCTGCAAGAGTACAGTGCCTTAGTTACTCTCTGGCTGTCTGTGAGAATTCTTATTTCAACACTATCATCTGTCTCTCCCTGACTTTCAGTTGTGAAGTGTCTCCACCCTCCAGCTATCACCAATGGGAAGCTCCAAGGCAACACTTCAGACACATTTTTCTATGGAGCATCTGTGTCCTATAGCTGTGATTCTGGTTATTCACTCACTGGGGATGCTTTCATCACCTGCACAGCATCAGGAACCTGGAGCCATCCTCCTCCTCGATGCAAAGGTGTGCGTCTGAGATATGTGAGCCAAAATCTAAGCAGTAAAACGTTCTGCTGCTGCTAACACTGAATTCCACCCATTTATTTGGCTTGGGAACCACTTCCACATCACAGCTAGTCATGTTAATTACTAATTGGCCTATATTTTTATATAACTGGGAAGAGTATAAAATCATGATAAAGAAGTAGGATGGGATCTACTTTATGATACCAGACAGAAGTATATGAGTGCAGTGGAGGAAATTCGGGAAGGCAGTTTTAATCCCCGCGTGTTCTGCATCTCTGCCTCTGTTGCTATGAATTAGTTGCATATTAACATTTCTCCCTTAAAAGCTTTTTCTCCTTGAGGAGTAGAAACATTCTCTCTTTACCTTTCCATGCCCTGTTATCACTAGCAGGAAACAGGAAGTGATTACATCTGATGACCTATAGTTTACATGTGAGTCTTACTACTCCTTTCATGTAAAGTCCCTCTACTTCTGTGACTTGTCACTTCTGCGTCAATTTCAGTCATCGGGCAAAAGTGACTCATGGCACTTTCACGAATGTAGCAGGATTTCCAGTGTGGGTGTTCCCGCATGGAAAACTGGGCGTTCAGCAGAAAAAATTCACAGGGCTTTTTCTTGGTGGAGCTGTACATCGGTATCTCAATAGAAATGCACGTGGATAACAATAAGAGGAAATAACACGCACCAAATACTTACATAAATAAGCCAGTAGCTATTTAAAAGAGACAAAGTCACAGAAGAATTCTCCCTGTTATTCAACATTCTCATGTTTTTGAGCTGTCCTTAGAAACTATTATGCGTGGTGGTAAAAATAAATAAGCCATAATACAATGGTCAGAATTTACATGCTGATATTACCTACTCTGATCTCCACTGAGAATTTATTCCTCTAGAATCTTTGGGCTTGGACTGTAAAAGGTGACCAAACAGACCTGACACACCACTCTTCTCCAAATGTCTTGCTAGCCCAGCATCAGTAAATCTCTCTCTGGCAGGTCTCCTTCCAGGCTACAACTGTTCTCCATGGGAGTAACCAGTGGGAAGAAGCTAACTCGTATAAACCTCTACATGGCATAAGACACAAAGCTCCTTTTGTAGCCACAAAGAAATGAATCATATTTGGGAATTAGAATTATTCAAAAAGAACTCAAGAACAATGCCTTAAATAACCCACACTTCTACTTTTCGTATCTTACATTCCCTCACACTTAGTGTCCTTTTTTATTACTTCTTATTTCAGAGATCAGTTGTGTATTCCCAGAAGTTCAAGGTGTTAAGAAAACCACGCCTGGAAAAACGTACAGAATTGGGACTAACATCACTCTTGAATGTGATGATGGGTACACGTTGGAAGGCCTCAATCAGATTCAGTGTCAGGAGGACTTCAGCTGGGACCCTCCTGTGCCAGCCTGTAAACTCAGTAAGTGAAATGTAAATCAAGCAAAGAACAAAGAGAAAAATGCAAGCGTATAGTTTCATTCTTGCCTGCGAACTATCTGTACAATGTGCTCCCAAGGCCTCTTCGGCCTGTTTAAAGTTGATTTTACCATGGCAGTAGAAAATAACAAACAAAAATAGCTATTTTTATCAGGTTAGTTTCAACACTATTTTCCACAGTCTTTCTGCAGTTCAGGGCTTCTGTTTTCCTGGTAACACTATCATTGCTGTTAATTTCTCTTTCAAACATGTAAGTGACTTTCTATTAAATATATATATATATAAATAATGGTATGTCTTTTTAAAATTCTGTATTGTCAGCCTAAGCAGTAAAAACTTTATCAATGAAGTGATTAAAAACTGTTGAGGAACACTGTATTTTATTTTAGAACTGTTTACTGATTATTGCTTTTCTCTTTCTCCAGCTTCACCCAGGTCTGGCTCAATAGGGCTAGGTAAGCAGCTCAGGAGAATTTCTGTGGCCAGATCTTTGGCTTCATAGCCTCAGTGGCACTATTTTCCTCTTCTTACTCAAAGATATGCTTATTGTGTCTCTTGTGCCAATGGGATTTAAAACACACAGTGCAAATAATACACTCTCTTCCCTCTCAGGAATTGCAGCTGCAGTCATTCTGCTTCTCCTGGGTGTGACCATTGCCTGGAAAATTATCTCTAAGCAGAAGGAAGGGTGAGATATCCTGTTGGGTACCCATTCACATTTTTCTTTGCCCAGTTATGACCCCTATACAGTCAAAACACCAGAATTAGGAGGCTAGGTCTTTCAGTTTTGTATTTTGAGCTTTAAGTTGCCAGCTCTACTGAGTGCATCAACTTGGAGTCAATTGTGTGGTTGTGCTGTTTCATTTCCAAGATTCTTCCTAAGAGGAAATCTGAGTGTTCATTATGAACTGAGATAGTTCACTGTTCTTTTTCATGCAGCTACTACCGTACATATGAAAACTACAATCACAAAACCTCTCTGGACTAGATGACAGAACAGAAACGTTCACATCTTGCATGGCAGGTATGGATTAACATGAAATATCTGCTACAGCTAGGAATTTGAGTTGTCCCATTATAATCCTTCCAGCTGAAAACTTTCCACCCAAACTTCTGATAAGTCAAACACGACTACACAGCTTCAGCTGTAAACTTATCTTTTGTTCTCTGGCAAAGGCAGCTTTGCAATCATTTCCTCTTTGAAAAACAAAAAAGCATTACCTAGGAGAGCAGGCCCTCCTCCCTTCCTAAGCAATGATATGATTAACACTGGTATGAAAGCTTGAGGAAAGCTAATTTTTACATTGTTAATTGCTTTCTCCCCAGGCTGAGCCCGGTGCTGCCCATAACCGGCATTCGAGGCGTTCCCCCACATTGGGACTGAACCAAGAAAGCACTTCAACACAAATCAACCCTCCTGCTCCTCCTGCTCCATTAATTAAACCACTCTAAGGGTCTAACGAAGCTGTACAGAAGCCCACCAGAGGACTTCCCGCACTGCACCTGTTCCTATCCCTGCAAACCCTGAGCTGAGGGAGAACCGCAGCGCTTCTGTAATAAAACCCGAAGGCAGGACGGCAGCTGCTGCGTTTGTGTCTCTTTTTTTGCGCCCACCTCGATAGATCCGCGTCATTATTTTAACAGCGCAACGCTATCTGAGGAAAGCACAAAAGCCCCCCCACAGAGCCGTTTGATATTTTATTTATTATTTTTTTTTCAATCAGCCTTTGTTCGCCTAGGCTGCACCATAGACCAGGCTTTGAAGCTGTTCCGTCAGCCGGAAAGAGGCTGGGCGGGCCCTTTCTAAGAAAAAGCCCTCTCCTCCGGCGAAGAGCCCGCTCTCTCACGCTCCCCCCTCAGCCCTGAGGCCGCTCCGCCCTAACGATGAGGGCTGGGTACAAAATGGCGGCCTCGGTTTCACAGAGCGGAGGGATGCGCAGCGCGCATGCGCAGCGCTCTGCGCGCCGTCGCCTGAGAGAGGGACGCGGAGCCGCGGGCATGGCGGCGGGCGCGCTCGGGGTCGCGGTGCTGTTGGTGGGGCTCTGCGCGGCTCGGGCGCAGGGTGAGCAACGGGAACGGTGATCCGTGGGGTGGGGGACGTGAGGGGGCTTCGCGTGCACGGTGGAGGCGGGGAGCGGGCGGGGAGCTGCGGCGGCGGGAGGAGAGCGGGCGGCCTGTGGGGATCGAGGAGACAAAAGGAGCAGCCGCACCGCGGGGATGGGTCGTTGTGGCGCTGTGAGGACGAAAGTTGGCTGTTATATTACGGGTTTGGGGGTTTTTTGGTTTTTTTTTTTGTGCGTGTGTTTTGTTCCTGTGCGTGAGGGGAGCTCGGGGAGGAGCTCCTTTGTGTTCGTTGTTTGCTTTTGCTGCTGTGAGGCGAAGAGGAACGTCACCCAGCGTGGATTGTGTCATAAACCTAATCAAAAACGCAAAAAATAGGAACTGGAAAGCGGTGTGTTGTTGAGGTAGAACGCTAAAAAGGAACCGAGCGGAGCAGCAACGAACCTGCGCTGATGTGGAGCGGGCGCTGGGTGCGATCAGGGTGGGAACTGGAAACCCAAATCCTTAAGAACTGTAAAAACAGTGCTGGCTTTTAAGAACCTCATTACTTTGTGGAGGTGCCCAGCTGCATGGGGCTCTGGGCAGACCGGTCTGGTTTGGGCACCCGATGGGCTTTAAGGTCTCTGGTATGATTTGTTTGCACTAACATCCTTAAAACCGACCGCGCTGCCCCCGCTTTGCCTCAGCTTGTATCTCCTCATGCTGATAAATATTGTTTCCCTTCCTTCCCCACGCTCCTGCAGACTCCTGCACGCTTCCAGACAGAGTTCAGTATGCAGAGCTCATGGAGGACTTCAGCTCGATGAGCAGCTTTCCTGTTGGAACCACTGTGAGGTACACCTGTCTCCCTGGCTATATGAGGATCCCTGGGAAGCCCGTTGAGCGAACGTGTGGTGAAAACTTAACGTGGTCACAAATAGAGACGTTCTGCACAGGTAATGTGTGCGTGGCCTTGTAGTGGAAATGCAAACTCATGGCCTGAAGCAGTGACTGAGCACCTGGTGGGAAGGCAGGGCCAACCCAGGGGGGTTCAGGTGCCTGTAATGCACCTGAGTGACTGGAAGAGGTGGAGTCAGGATCCACCTCCTCCCAAATCTCATTTAAGGGTTGGTAGTGGAGGTGAGGGCATCTCTTGCTGGAGATCCCGGCCTGCCTGAGTCTTTCTAAAGGTAAGCAGCTCTTCTTCATTTCTGTGTCCATGGCTGCTGATTTGGACTTGTTCTCATTTGCTGAAACCAGAGGTTCTGCCACTCTGCTCTTACCATCCCGTTATAGCATTACAATCCTCTTGTTTTTTTAAAAAAATTGTTTTTCCTTTGTTATTTAACAATTTCAGTTGGTTTTGTGTGAGAATTGATTTTCTGTATAATTTAAAATGAAGCTTGAAAAGTACTGGTGACTTTAAGGGCAGTGTATGCCAAAGACGTAGTCTTTGTATATAACTACAAAGATATAGGCTTGTTCTTTTTTCTTTCCCCAGCGAAAAGATGTATTCATCCAGGAGAATTAGCAAATGGCTTTGTTCATGTGACAGATCTTACATTTGGTTCAATAGCTACTTTTTCTTGTGAAAAAGGGTGAGTGTTGGGTTTTTTTTTTTCCTGGTTTTCCTGTTTTTTTTTTTATTTACACCTGATTTGAACCAAAACCAAACTGAGGTTCTTGAGTTATAGCAGGACAAATCACAGCAAGATTTGGTTTGATTCCCTGGTTTTACCCACATCAAATTAGGCTTTTAAGGTGCTTGGCAAAACTTTGTCTGTGTTACCTCTAACAACAACATCTTTTTATTGTCCCTGTGGCACAGGAAGTAAGTGTATATTCATTGCACTTCATTATTACATTGTATAGTGGCCTGTTTGTCTGTGTGTAGCAAATCAACTCAAAAGTGTTAACCTCTTCCAGTGGTTTTCTTTTCAGTTTTAATTTAACATTGGTGACTTGATGGTATTAGGTACATGCCTTTAAAAGAGAGAGGTTTTGTCTGTTTCTTTAGTGATGTCTCATTTGCTTCTCTCATTTTCAAAGTTGAGTCTATTAACAAAATATCTCTAAACATAACATTCTCACCACAAGAGAAGTGTGGTGTGTTGTGTCCACGTAGTCACAGAACAGAATCATGTAAGCAAGATTTCTAGCTGCTCCCTGGAAAATTGAATGTTAAGTTTTACTTCTTTTAATATTTTCATCTGTCTAGGTACAGGTTATATGGAAATAGACAAATTTCCTGTGTAATTAGAGACAAAGGTGTTGACTGGGATGGATTTCTTCCTGTATGTGAGAGTAAGTAAAGTACTGCTGTATGTTTGCTTTGTACTCAGGCAGTGGTAGTTTATTTTATAATATAGCTGTGTGCTGTACATTCACTGGTGAAAGAAACGATGGTAAAATAGGGCAGCACTTAAATTTTTTTTCTTGAGCTATTGGGGATGTGCCTGAGGAATCGGCACTGAAAAGTCTAGGTTATTGTTGTAGTAAGCTAATAGCTGTTAAAGTCTACCTATTCTTGTTACAAATGACCACAGGTCTTTCTCAGTTAGAGCTAAGACAAGTTACAGCTTTGTGTTGGATTTTAAGTGCAGTGACTTGAAAATCAAAGCTTTTTGCTTGTGGGAGTGAAATTCTGTTAGCTAACTTTTATGATTTTATTCCAGAAGTTCCTTGTAAACCTCCTCCAAGTATAGCCAATGGGCACTACACTGAAGCAGACAACTATGTTTATCAAACAACAGTAACCTATAGTTGTAATAATGCACAGAAAGGAGAAGATCCCTTCTCGCTGGTTGGTTCACCTTCTATTTTCTGCACAGTTGATGATAACTCAAATGGCATTTGGAATGGACCACCTCCACAATGTAAAGGTTGTTTCTCAAATATATTTATATCTTATAGGACTCAAATTTCAATATCTGCCTCTTCTGGAACGGGGGAGCTGAGAGGATGGATGGTTTTCCTACAGAGAAGGAGGAACTTTTGTCTTCTGCTGCTGTAAATTGATAAAATTGCAGTGCACGTCAGATGAACTGCATTATGGATATTGATGGAGTATGATATACAGAGTGGCTTTGAACTTAAATTAAAACTTAAAAAACAAAATACGAGCACACAGTTGGTAGAAGTGACAAGAACAAAGTGAAGGAGCTGACCTCGAGTATCTAATAAAAGCATGTGTGAACAACCACCATGTTAGTGCAGAAATAAGTGTAAAGTTTAGCAAGCATGTGGTCTTGCTTTGTGTTTGCAGGGAGGAAAAACTGGATGCTTTCATCTTGTCACTTGAATGCTAACTAAATAAATTGAGTTTTCTGGAATTCTGCTGCTGTGTAGGAAGAACTATGTGGGTTGGAAGTGGGTTGCACTTTTAGTTGACTGTGTACTGTTGCAAGTCAATGGCTTAAATCAGGGACAATCTGCACATTGGAGGGAGGAAGCTTCTTAGGCAGCCCAGTCCAAACAGTGAGAGGAATTAAGAAACTTTGTTACAAGTATTGAAAGTGCTGTGACTGTTAGAAGTTCTAACAATAGAAGATACTGTTAACAAATGTTTCAAAGCTGGTTTTCCTCTTATGTATTTCAGTGGTCATCTGTGAAAACCCAGAACTAGAAAATGGAAGAAAATTATCTGGGTTTGCATCTCAATATACCTATGGGAGCACAGTTATGTTTGAATGTGATCCAGGCTATGCCTTGTCTGGGGAGGATGTAATTACTTGTCAAGAAAATAACACCTGGTATCCATCAATACCAACTTGTAAAAAACGTAAGTTTTTATGTAGGAATCCAACTTTTCTTGTATGTTGAGAGTGTTGTTAAATCTTAGCTATAATTTAAAGCAGTTATACTGTACTTGAAAGTCAGAAGCTAAGGAATTTGACACTGAGCCTCATCATGGCAGCTATTCCAGGTGTTAGGAGTCACACGAACAGTGTTTGGATGATAATGAGTTGAATTTTAGGCATGCATGAGGAAGCGGTGGCACAGATATACTATGGTGTTACTTCACTGTAATGGCATCCTGCTCTTTGTTGAAGTGATATCATGAAGAAATGAGGAGGATAGATGTATATTCTATCAAGATTCCAAAATGTACAAGGGTTGTGCATAACGAAGAGATCAGTGGGATCCTTGCTGTGTACTCACAATCATTGTGTCTGAATCTGTGCTCATACCTAGCTCTTCAACTCTAGCTTTCCAGGCATCAAACTGCTTATAGATTTTTGACCAAGCAAATTATTATTAGGCCTAATTCATAGGGGCCATTGGAGAGCATTTTCTGACGTCTTCCCTCTCCCACTCTGCTGGAGGGACAGGGAATGTGGCTGCAGAATACAGTCAGAGGATTTCATGTATGTACGTTCTAATGATAAGCCCTCAAGAATGAGAACTACTTCTACAAAGGATGTGCTTGAGTGTTTCATAATGGATGAGTCTAATAAGGCACCCGAGAATGATTTGTATGAAAAAAATAAACCAAAGGTTAGACTTCTCAGGTGCTGTATCATATGATCATGCTACACTCATGGAGTGATGTTTCTTTTAAATCTTCCGTAGGAAACACTTATACTTAAAATTATGGTAAAGGTAGACGAGAAGTTCTAACAATTCAGATACACTAATAGCATTATATTATACAAAAGCAATGTATACTTAGAGAGCTAGTGAATTATAAAACATTTAAAATTATTTATTGTTGCATTTGCTTTTAAATTTATGTTTTAGTTAGTGAAGATTCATGTGGTGCCCCAAAGATCTCCCATGGAGAAGTGGTTCCACTGAAATCTGTGTACTTAAGAGGAGAGTCTGTTCAGATAAGGTGCAGTCCTCACTGTGCTTTTCCTGATGGTGGTACAGAGGTCACAGTAATGTGCCAAGGACAAAATACATGGAGTTCTGAACCGAACTGTGCATGTGAGTAGAATTCGTAATTAGGAAAATCAAGTGACAAGTTTGAAATGTCTGATGTAGTGTTTGACCCCTGAAGGTCAGAGGCCTGTTGGCATGCCCAGCTGGTCACAGGTTACGTTAATAGGTTGTGAGTGCCATGGGTTGGGGTTTGAGTAACTGTGCAGAGTTTTGTGCCTAGCTGGAGTCCTTCTTGAGTCTTAGTTTTATGTGTAGGAATGAATCCAATTCAAGAGCTGTTGTGAAAGACCTGTTCTGGGAGTGCTTTTTGAATGTTTTGCCTTTGAAGGTGACAGACTTCATACTCTTTTTCCTTTGCGTGATGTGATCACTCGTAATATGAACAGAAAGATTTTCATTACTTTGATGCAACTCTTTATCCCAGTGAAGCTGAGGTATATGTTTCTGCTCATGCATCTGAAGCATGTCCATCATGCATTTTTGCTGCCTCTGGGCAGCAGGAAGCCTTTGCATGTCATGTCTTAATAATGAACTGAGCTTCTGATATTTACATGAATGTAGGGACTTCTTGATGGCAACTTCTTTAATCCGTTCCATGTATCAGCTCTGTTCTCAGACTTTTTTTTCTCACTTCCAAAATATTTCCTTTCTAGGTGGTCCTGAACCTTCTGATTCCTCTCCAGTCATCAGCCATGGTAGAATAATTGAAGGGAAAAAATCTGTATATTCCATAGGGGATTCAGTTACAATTGAATGTTATGCAGGCTACACATTACATGGTGCAGCTCGTATTGAGTATATTGGAGAAGGCAGATGGAGTCCAGAAGTGCCAATCTGCAAGTTAAGTAAGTATGAACTGCAAGAATTTCCAATAGAATAAAAATACGTACAGAATATTTACTACTTGGGGACATGCTTTTATATTCAGAAGTCACTTATTGCATACTTCTATCTTTATTTCAGCATAAGAAAGATGGATTTGGGTAAACGTGCTTTTAATAATTGGCATACTTAAATTAAATAAAAATTGCTGTGCAAAACTGACCTGCTGCAAGGGTCATCTTGACAAGCGTTTGATTCATTTGAGACACCCTCATGAGTACTTATATAGTACAGTTGATTTAAGAAGCATGCATTCCTCATAATACTCATCTACTCTGTTTTTAGGTGCCTATATTATTGCCATCATCTGTGGTGAGTATCATATCATTCCTGAATAATGTACGATGTGGTGTTTGTTTTTTATGGGGAATTGATATTGTGGTCATCACCTGGGACTAATAGGAACTGTGTCTGGAGTTCTGGTTGCTTTAAAAACGCTTGTCTGCTCCTAAAATCAAGCTTTCTACCACCACTTCTTTATAAGGTCATTCTAAAAAGTAATGACACTGTTGTGAGCTGTAGTAATATTCCTGAGCTGGTGGTGTTTTGCCATCTTAGTGATCACTGTTCTGGAGCTGAACTCTGCTGAAGAGTCTTGAGCAAAGTATCAAATATGTAATTGGGAATTAAGCCATGTGAATTTTTGAGCATTGGAAGAGGAGGATGCTGTGTTGGATTCTGGGTGTAGACAGCATTGATTTTTGAGGAGATCTTTCTTGTGAGCTGTTTACTATCACTCTAAGGCTTCTTTTTAATTCTTCCTCAAGTGATCGTGGCAGTTGTGGTGTTCCTGGCAGCCTTCTGGATCTTCAAGAAATTCATTTCACAGGAAGGGTAAGTAATTCTTTTTTTATTGGCAATTTCTGTGTGACAGCAAAAGCAGTGCTAACATATGTAGTTGCTTAAGCTTTATCTGCCTCTTCTTTTTTCAATTGTGTGATGTCTGTATGTGAGCTTAGCAGCTAAAGTACCTAACAGCATATTTGACTGTTTCCTTATCTGTTACTTAGATAAGATGCTAATTATCATTCCTGCTATTTTAAAGGATGAAGAAGCGCTGTCCTTAGGCTTATGTTTAACAGAAGTACACTTAGCAATGTTCACATCTGCTCCAAAACATGCCATTTTTATCTTAAACCAGTGTTACTATTGGTTTATTTTGGTTTCACCTGCTTTATTTTTTTTTTTTTTTGCCCGAATAAGCATCTGGTGTCACTAAGGAAAGTCTCCTTAGGCTTTAAAAGCCAGAGTGGTTTATGTGATCTGGAAGCCTTGCAAGTGAGCTTCCTTGCTTCTGCAACGTACCAATGGTAGTGGAGGGAAACGATGCTGTGTTTTGGACTAGAAACAACTTGAATAAAATACCATGGACTTATTTGAACCTTCTCCTTGTAACTGTATTGACCTAAATGGTCCTATAGTGTTTGAACAAATAGCAGGCAGTGCTACTAGGATGTATAACGTGTAGATAGACTTCAGTTCTGTCATTTGCAGTAGCAGTGCTTATTATCTTTACATTACAGACTGTATGAGATTGGGTGCACAAATAGTGGATTTTGTTTCTTTATGAAGCATATGTTGCATTTTGAACTTTCTTTTCAGAGTAACTGGTTATATATGCTTTTTTGATAGGGACTTGGCAGGAGAACTAAATGCTTTGTGCATTGCTTCTTGTAGTGGTGTCCTTTTTGTTGTTGTTTTTTTTTTTAACCTTCTCAGAAAAAATACTGTTTTCTTGGAGAAGCACTCTGTAACAGACAAAATACTGAATACTTAAAGCAAGTCAGGTGGAGCAGTGCATCTTACACTAGCTCACTTACAATATGCATCTCACCAAAGCTCACTTAAACTTCAGTAGATTTAGTTTAATAAATAAATAAATAAATCTGGGGTTTGTGAGACAAGGGGATGCTTTCAGTAAAGCTAACCAGAGGAAATACTCCTGTAGTTCATATTTGAAGTGAAGTACATGTGGTGCTACTTGGGACGAGCCTGAAGCTAACTTATATCCAGTGAAGTTCTAGTGGAATTATCTTCCCCCTAGGCAGCATGGCATCTTTTCAGTGACCCCAGTGGCTGGGGCTGTGCTGCAAAGTAATGCAGTGCTTTTGATTAACTGCTTTTCGTCCAGTGCTTGGATAATTTGCTACCTTGATAGCCCAGATGCAATCTAGTACTACTAAGGCAGCACTTTCTGCCTTCATCTGTGAGAAAGCTGTTCAGTGTAGGAAAAGAAGAAGGGATCTAAAGGAAATATATCAAAAAGCAGAACAAAATAACGTTGTATTCCTGAAAATCCCAATACTGCGCCATGTGCTTTCCTTCAGCTTCATTGCTGTGAGCGCCTGACTGTTAAATCCCATTCTTGTCTCAAAGCCCAATCTAATCTCCTTCTGCTAGGACCAGATCTCACTTGTTTTCTGGATTCCTGAAAGAGCTGAGCCCTTCTGAACCACTCTGCTTCCAGTATCTCATATTGTACCTTGGCTATGTTCGTCTTCAGCATGCAGCAAAAACTGTGTCTTGCCCTTTGCTGCTTCTGTGTTCAGTCTGTCAGTTTTATAGGATATTCAATTAGACCTTTTTCCCCTTTTGCTGTTCAGCTCATATACAGTTGATGAGAATTGCAAGAAAACATGTATTTTAAAAACAAATACACCAGTTGAGATGGAGGAACTGCACAAATGAATTAATTGAATCATGAAAAGGTATACCCTTCCCACTTCATTTGGACATTTGCTTAAGTGTCTCTTTTTACGGTTTACCCTGAATTTTAGAAGTATGGAATCCAGTGAAACCTCAGTTTCCTACAGAAAAAGCGATAAGAAGCATTCATTCATTTCCTCCCTTCAGAGGAAACAAAATCACATGTCTTTTCTGCAATTGGCTCTTTCCAAAATCCGGCTCTTTGAGCCGTGTTGTTGCAGGACAGATGTAATACAGAAGGGATCAACTTGACTCTTCCTCATCAGTATTTTGTTGTTACTGTCTTAATGGTTTGAATTTGCACAAGAAATGTTTTTGCAAACTTGTCTTTGTGTTGCTTTTCTCCATGGCACAAATTCTGAAAAGGTAATGACTGAAACGTTAGGTTCCTTATTCTGACTTGAAGTCTTTTCAAATGAGTAGTCTTGTATTGTATTTAGTTATTAAATAATGAGTGACTTCTGAGTATTTTTGATAAGTTTGAAGGCGTATATGGAATTAAGCTTAAAGCTGATTCCATAAGAATGTGTTGATGAATACCATCTTCGTCTCTGAAATAAGATGCTCCTAATTGAGAATTAGTTTTCTGGCATCAGTTTTCTGGGTTGGTTGGCCTTACTTTTGGGGAGAGAAGGAATTGGGAATTCTTCCTGTCATGAGCAAAAGGAAGGATTGGAAATAAGAGAAATGATAAAGCTCCCAAGGCTTTGTACAGTATCTAAAACTCCTCAGAGACCTCAAGTAATGGTGCAGGTGTTTGTTGATTTTGGTTTACTTGTTTGTTTGCTGTGAAAGAAAAGCTGTGCTATTAGAGAGTTTGAAAATACGTGGATGTGGGTTTCAGTGGTCATGACTGTGATTATAAATTTTTTTCCCTCTTGTGTTTAAGTACTGCACACTTTCTACAGTGAGCTACAGAATCAAATTTTCACAAATGCTTGGCTTCTGGCTATAAAATACATACTAACCATCAGACATAAAACATCTGGGTTGCTTACAGTGTAGCCTCCAAATGAGTTAGGAATGCTGTAACTGCTCTGTCTGGGCTCAGCTGCTGATAATATTCTGGCATGGTTTCTTCATCGCTTGAAATGGTCCACTTGGATCAAATCTTCTCCTAATCCTTGGGTTGTTCTTTGCACTCCTGAAGCTGAAACTGGAGCCAAAATCTCACTAAGTGTATTGGTTGCTTAGTAGGAAGCACACAAGTGAGTTAGTTTCATGATTTCACCTGATGATTCAACGCTACAGCTGAGGATGTGCTTCCAGAATAAATGTAAGAGCTATTTAAATGTGAAATCCCTGATTTGACTTATTTTTCTGTTTGTAGGAAGAGTGACAGCACTCCACATACTGCCAAATATACGAGCTGTAAAGCATGAATGTCTCTTTCTGAGGGTGGGAGGGAATTTGCAGTTGGATGTGCCTATCAAAAACGAAAACAAGCGCACTTATTCGCCTACGGAAACTTAACATACCTCACACTGTGCTTTATGCTATTGGTTAACTGTAATAGAGAATAGTAGGATAAAAAAAAGATCAGAATTGTCTGCTGTTTTGTTCTGGGTCACTCATTGTCTCCTCTGTGTGTGTAAAATGGACTTAGAGGCTCTTCCTGCAGCACACGTCGCTGTCTGTCGGCGGGAGCACTTACAGAAGATGGTCCGATGTTAGCTCTGCTCACTAAATTTCTCAATCACTTTTGCAGTTGAGGTGGTGTAAATGTTATCTCTTATGTTCTGAAATGTTTTAACTCTTCGTTTTTTCTTAAGAGATTGGTGCAATTTAAGGCTGTGTGTGTTTGAAACAGTTGCAATTTAGATCTTGTATCTGCTGCTTTCTTGTTTGCCAAAGTCGATTCTGTATGTCTGATGAATTAAAACGTGCCTTTGAATCAGAGTTTTATAGCTTTTATAATGCCTTTAAGAAGGAAAAAAAAAAAAAAAAAAAGACCTTTGGTATAATCCCAAAGGAACTGTAATGGTCCTGTTGCAATGGGGAAGTGAAGGTTTTCCTTAGCAGGGGTATCTCCTGCGTTTGTATCTATTGGTCTGTTGACAGAAGGAAATTAACCAAAACCTGCTGAGAATCTGTGTGCCCATCCTTGGGTAGTCTGGTATTATTATTATTTTTACTTTGAGTCTTGATGTCCATTTCAGAGATAATTATGTTGCTTTTCAGAATAGAAGTGCTTTCATATGAGTTTAGCTGAGCTAAGTGAGGATGGGTTTTGGCTTTGTGGGTTTGCTGCCAACATGCAGGCAGCTTCTATGTACCCCAGAAAGAGCAGTCACCTGGCATCAGGTGGCTGAGGCAAGGGTAGATTGGCACTGCTATTGGGATCACGTTGTTTCAACAGCACAGAATTAGTTGGGGTTTCATTGGGCTCTTTGGGACACTCCCAGCAGATGTTTTTGAGTGTTCCTAACAGTCTCCAGTTATGAAGAAGGGGTTCTGGCTGTGCAGAAGTGCTTGCTGTTCATGGCCTCTCCAATAGCTGCTGCTTAGTTTCCTAATTGCTTGTAAATACTGTGAAAATATACTGAGAATTGAGTGTTGCTCATTAGCTGGCTTGTGTGTGGCATTTCCAATATCTCATAATATACTAAAATAGAATGAAAGCTTGAGTGAAATGACTGTATAGATTTGGCTTTATTTTTATATTGTTATGAATGTAAAGACGAGTGATGGCTTGTATTATTACAAATAAAGATATTATGTGGCAGTAAGTGTTTGTCTTTCATTTGTTTGTGGCGGATGGCTGTGTTCTGTTTTCTTAGAGGATAACATGAGTTGGATACACGATAAGTCAGATGTGAGGTTTGTGCTCCAAATGTACTCTTTTGTTTCTGCACAGAAATGTGTAGTCAGCTGCCTCAAAGTGAAACCTGTCAGAGGAAGGGCTAGAAAAGTAACTAGTGAGCTTTATTTTGTAATTCATGATTGTTATTATGTGCTATAGACTGGAGCACTTGAACCTGGTGCTAGCAGAGAGGCTGGCTGTGATGAAAGCATCGTGTTGTTGCCATCTGCTGGTGTGTCTGTGGTTGGTAGTTGTCCACATTACCAAAATCAGCATTAGTGCTGACTGCTGAGTGTGGGGTGTGTGATGAGCAAAGGGAGCTGGG